GTTTTTGCCAAGCACGCCCCCTGCCCCTCCGAGCTCCATGCAATAGGAGACTGACCAGAACTAACCAATAGCGTTAGACTACCGCGTACCTGCTTCAGATTTAAGGAATACCTCGGCTGATGCAGAGTTGATGAACTTTTCACGCACAAGTCTTTAAAATATGAATACATGACATGTGAATAATACTTGTAAAACAGCGTGTTTTAGCTGTTTGCCGGCTACAGAAGCACATAAACAAACTAGAAACGTGAAGTCGCCACCTTAAAAAAACGGAAGGACAAATTATTTGTGTGATATGCTTGTCAGCCACTAGATGGTGCCACCGGACAAGAGAAATCCTCCGGAAAGGGACTCTAAAAACACCCATTAGCTCAGTTTGATAATCAACGTTCCCTTCTATGCTTTTTTGGGACCGATACCGATAAAAAACTTTTAACAAAGGTCGACAGCCGATATGAAGGCCGATAAATCTCCCTCACAAAAAAAATAAATAAACATTTTCTTAAGCTTAAACCCTTCATTCTCTGCCTTTTTGATGCAAACTTATTTCTCTGTTACACACCAAAGAACTGCCTCCATAACTCACTCGGGTTTCCAAGTAATGCAAATAAGATTTATTTAGCAGGTCTCAAAAACAACAGAACACACAAACTCAGTCAGCATAAATCTAACACTCAAGTTTTCTCTTGTAAACGGTGGTTTCCACAAATACATTTTAACTTAAAGGAATATTCCACCACTCAGTAAAGTTGTGTCTTGTTAAGATTCCCCAGAGTTAGACAAGTCAGAAAAAGCATTTTATAACCAGCCCAATATGACCTGGCAGCAGTTGGTTTTCTTAGTTTAGCATAAAACAATGTAAGTGAATTCACACACACTGTAGTGTTTTTATGTAGGTGAATGCAGGCCTGCCCTTCCATTGCTTCATGCTAAAACAACTGGGTACAACATGGTTTTTCTGACTTGGCTAACTCCGGGGAATCTAACAACACACACAAGTTTAGGGACAGAAGATCCCTGAAAGAATATTAAAATAATAAAAATGCAGCAATAAATAAAACGTAATACGTGTGCTTTGTAACAAAGTAACGCTCTGTGGAAGTTAACTTGGTGACCTTATTCACCCTGGACAGGAAATAGTCGCACATAAGAAACATAAATAAGAATAAATTTTTAAAAAGGTCCAAAACAATCATTTCTGTTCAAAGTTCAAAGGAGTGGAACCACACATGAGTTCATAAAGCTGGCGCCATCTGCTGGATATGTAGCGCAATATCGGCCATATCGGCCGTCTTTTTGGCCGATATTGTTAATGACCCCTACATCGGCCGACATATCAGTCGGGCCCTAATATTAAGGATTTCAAGTGGATAACGATAAATGAACAATAACTACAGGTATGCGCAGAAACAAAGGTTGTCCACTAGAGGGGGCTGTCACGTGTATTACGTTGAGTCACATTTCTACGTGACTTAAAGAGAAAGTCGCCCCCTACCAGAGTCGTACTCCACTCCAACTTCCTGTTTGAAAAATGCAACAAATGCTGTTGCCTGGCAGACCAAGATGGTGGACACACACAGGTTCTCAATGACATTGTGACATCATCATGTACCAGCTAACGTTCTAGGGTACCTCTTAACCAATAGCGATGGCAGATTTTAATTCAAATGCGGTGTAGAGTTTTTACCTGACAACGGCACAACACTGGCAGTTTTAGTCAGAATATTTAAAGTTTAACTAAGATGCACTAAAGTGCCAAATTACTGACTACGTGTGTATAGCACGACTACTCATTTATATAGTTTATCAGCAAAAAAAGTTGATTTGGGGGTGACTTGCTCTTTAAGGTGGCACAGCTTCTTAAAGGGACATGAACGTGGCCAACCTACACACTTTCTTCATTTTTTATTATCACATTTACTGACATGGGGAAAATAATCTCGAGAAGAGTCAGAAACTTTGACAACAATACATTTTTGATTCATTGCCCAGCTCTTATCTATAAGTAAATGTTCAAGCGTTGGAGCCACCTCACAGTGAATGATGTGGATTTAACTGGTCGTCTGGATCCCGTCTCTGCGGTCAGTAAGGATACATGAGCTGCACTTGAATAGCACCTTTCTGAGCCAGAGACCTCCAAAGCACTTCACACTACGGTCATTCACCCATCCACACACTGATGGTGGTTAGCTACTGACCTGGGGCATGCTGACAGAGGCATTGTGTCATCAGCGTTAATCGGGGCTCGTTTCATTGGCTGTTCTGCCGTTTTCATTATCTCCACACGTAACGTCCTTTAAAGCCCCAAATCAACCAGAAGAGACTCCTCCAGTGTCAGTCAGCCTGAGACTCTGAGCTCCCATTAGAAGTTTAATTGGGCTTATCGCTTTCAACCGTAACCCGTTGATCATGAGCCCTTCAGATGATGACATTTTTTGTGTAGTTATGCTGTGATCAAGCGGACGTAGGAGCTCTCCAGCCTCCAACCTTACCATTAAGCATAACTGGTTCCCTAATGGCCCATGTGGACATGTTGAGGCGGGTGGGGTGAGCTCATGTCTCCTGTTTGAGATGTCTCCACGTGACGACAGAGCAACGTCAGAAACAAGAACTCACAGCAGGTTTTTCTTTGATGCTAAAGTCCATTTTGAGCAGCCAAAGTCATTCCCTGAACTAGGGCTGTCGCAATAATCGCAAGAACAATATATCGCGATATTAAGAAACCCACCGCGCTGCATGACGTGCCACCGCAATTACCGCACTTGATTAAATCTCGTGACAGCGCATGCTGAGAGGTAAAGTCCGCGCTGATCGAGGAGATAGTAGGGCACTTTTTTTTATTTCTGTTAGATGTTGCAGCCAAATTTGCATTTCAAAGTTAAACCTCCTGAATGTTGTTTTTAAGTTCAGTCAGAGAATGCCGTTACTGCCCTATGATCTGCATTCAATAAAGTGTTAAAAATGGCCATGTTGTTTTTTTCTAACATTTTTTAAATGTGTAAGCACAATGTTTCAAAGGAAATATTGCCATGAGTTTAGTAATTAACAAACAAATTTGCTAAGTACATAAATAAAAACGGGGTGCAATAATATCGCAATATTGAGCTGCCCTGACTCACCGCAGAGGGAATTCCTCAATCGCGACAGCCCTACCCTGAACCCCCACCCCCCCACCCCACCCGGCCAGGTGAGATTTCACCTGTTCAACCAACCTGATTAAAGACAAACGTTTTATTATTATTATTATCAGCCTCCCATCCACAGACACACAAACTTCCCTCCTTCCACCAACGCAGCAGGACATTAGTCAGTATGGCTGCATGGGGACGTGTAGAGGCAAGCCGGGGGCAACGCTTCCGAGAAGATTTAAAAAGAAGAGGCAGGAGAGCGATACGATCAGGCACACAGACCCGGATCGTGTTGGCTTTGGCCCGCCTCACACACTAACACCACTTTAACACAACTCCTCCTTCTTTTTGCACTACAGGAGACGCGTTCTCATCTGGGGAAGAACTGGCACGGGAGGTGAAGTAAAGCGAAGGGTGGATAGGTGTGTGTGTGTACGTGCGTGTACGTGCATGTGTGTGTGTGTATCCTGTCAACGAGACATATTGACAAATACGAAAGAGGAAAACAGAATAAAGCAGCTGAGGAGTCTTGGGAAAGGTATTCTAGGATGTGCTGCACAAGGTTCCTGTAAACCAGCCGTGGATGAAGGGAGGGAACCTTCCGCAGCTCAGAGCCCGGCCGCGTCCTCGTGAGCACCAAGGTTTCTGCACTGTCAGTCATTTTCTGTGCAGAAAATGACAAACTGGCTTTTTTCTGCTTTGGTGTATTTTGGTGATCAGGAGCAGCAGCAGTGGGGAGGAAGGGCTTATGGTCTTCAGATAAAACCCTGAATAGTGCACAGGTATCCACCACAAGAACAGCAACAGGTTCAGGTTAAACCTCTGCTCTGGTGGCTTCATATCAGGCCCTGGTAGGCTGAAAACCTGCTGACTTCTGATGACATCAAAGTCCCAAAGGGGCAGTGATGGAATGCTTCCTCCTGAATTCCTGACCTTTGCTTCCAAACCAAGGTACTTCATCCAATAAGCAAGGCATGTTTGCAGGACCTTCAACCTCGGCCATGACAGTCTCATGACTGGGTTTTGTTACCACAGCACTGGGGTTTTCTTCCTCTGAGCTTAGATCACAGGTGTAGATTCAAGGTAATAAAAGCTTACCCTATTTTCAGAAAGGTTTTATTAACACCTTCACACACTCCTGACCCAAGTCCCATCTCTACCACACACACACACACACACACACACACTATAATCTATCAGTCTAAAGGCTGGTTCATGCTTCTCCGTCAGCTCCAACAGGGACAGACACGCACGGACGGACGGAGACGTTTTGCTCTCATGCTTCTCCGTCTCCTGGAGAGTGTTGCAAAGCAATTCCCCGCCAGGACAGCAGAGGGCGTAGCGCTGTTCTGTGGTATCCTGTCATGTATCGGTCCAGGATCGTGTGTTTATATTGTGTTTTTGTGTATATAAGAGACTTTTAACACAGACACGGTCTCTCATCCTCCTCCACCTCTGCATGCGCTCCCCACCTCTAAACCCACGTTTCCTGTCATTTCCGTCCACAAATAAAACGCTCGCTACGCATCTTTTCACTCCTCCAGTCACGGGAGAATTAAACGTTCATATTTTAGAGTTTTGTCGCGAGGTATTCTCCAAGCTGCTGCTAGTTATCCTCGACTCTCTTTATGTGTTTGAGGGCGCAATGGCGGCGGTGTAGACGACAGCGGCGTTCTGACCAATCACAAGCTTGCGTTGTCCGTCTCGACAGACGGATGTTTAAAAAAGTGCGCTCGACTCCGTACGTACTTGCGTGCCTGCCGGGGCCTTACGCAAGGGCGGATAATGGCGTTGTGTGTCTCCGCGCTGACGCAGACGGAGAAGCATGAATCAGCCGTAACCCAACGAATGAGCAGAGTTGAGGGAACTTACTGTTGTTGGACTTGAGATCCCGATGAATGACCGGAACGATGGCTTCACTGTGTAGGTACAGCATCCCTCTGGCTATCTGCACGGCCCAGTTGACCAGGACGTGAGGTGGGATGCGGCGACCTGCGAGCGCCCGGCTCAGTGGCCCACCAGAGGCGTACTCCATGATGAGGCACAGGTTGGGTTCCTGTAGGCAGACGCCCTTCAAGGTAATGATGTTGGGATGGTTGAGCATAGCAAACAAACGGGCCTCCTGCCTGGTGTTCTGCGCCGTCACGCTGATGTCCTCGTCCGGGTCTTGCCGTGCCGCCTTCACGGCCACCAGCTCATCCCTCCATGTACCACGGTAGACTTTCCCAAAGCCCCCGACCCCAATCACCTCCTCCAAGCTCAGCTCCCGGAAATCCACCTCCTCTGGTTCTAAATTACCAACCACGTCGTGGTCGAGCTCGTGGACAACGTTGCTTCCAGGAAGCTTTGCATATCCACTTGGTTTGAAGGAGCCGTAGTTGGAAGGGAAGATGCCCACCTTGTTGTTGACCTTCCCTGCCCACCAACCCTCGTCCCCTGAAATCTCAGAGTCCTGAGAGAGGACTTCCACCAGGTCACCTTTACGCAAGGTGAGCTCATCTTTACAAGATGCTTCGTAGTCAAATAAGACCGTCCACACCGGGTTGATGAAGTTCCCTTTTTTTGACTGCTCTAAATTCTTCCAGTTCGACAGTGAGCCACGACTGAATATGTTCTTCAGCGGCTCCATGGAGCCTCGAGCAGATGTTTAGACTGGATTTGATTCTGCACCCCAGGGGTTTGAAAATAAAGTACAAAGGAGTACTTTATCGCGCCTCGCTCCCTTTCCTGTCTTGCTGGTTGGGTCATCAGGGACCAGTGAAATGTGTTCAAAAGTCAGACCAACAGGTGGGCTAAAGACGACAACTCAGTGTCTTTCATTTGTCTTGATGCTAAAGTTAAAGGCGGTCCATCCCAGCAGGACGTGGACAGTTTGGTCCACTTTAAGTCTCTCCAGTCCAAGAAAGACAGCACAGTTCCCACCGAGCCGCTCTGAGTTGATCTGATGTGGTCTGTGGTTTCCCAGCACGTGGTTTGAGCGCAATCTCATTTCACCAATCTGCGTGAAAGGCTCTTAATCCCCTCAGCGTGGCTGAACCAGCTCTCATCCCAAACCAACACCTGCTCCGCTGAACCTCAGAGAGACGAGGAGGAAAAGATCCTCGGTGGAGTCGTTCCTAAATGTCGGTGCTGCAGCTCCACATCAGCATTTTGAAGCCACCAGGCGTCCGTTTGGAGTGTTTGGTGTATTTTTAGCCATTAAGTGCACTTGCCACAAGCAGGAAGCGCCGAGAAGAATAGCAGGAAAGGAGCCTTCGGTCCAGCCAACCAGCGCTTATGACTGCTCTTTAAGCGCTGACCACTTCGCATTATTTAAGCCCAAATATCCCTTAACTGCGTTTGAGCGCAACGTTGCGGCGCCCCAGCTGGAAATCCCGCATCTGTTTGCGCCACTTCATCCATGCTGTTGGTAACAGGAAGAGCGGATATGGTGGCGATCTTTATCAAAACAAAACGTAGGAACTTTGTAACAGGAAGAGCTCTCCAAACCTTCTCGACTTCTCTACCCGGAGACAAAGCGTGAACACTGATCCGCCGTGGGAGCTCAGAGTCCGGCCCGGTCCGGTTCGGTGCTACAGTCGGTGTCGGAACGGCGCAACAACTCCATCATAAGTTCTAATTCCGTTCCTCCGCCTCGGTCGCTGCTCCGCTCCTCGAACCACTGCTGCGTCGCTGCTTACAGGCAAGCGGAGGGTGGGGTTTCACAACTTTTTTGTCCCGACAGGAAGAGGCAGACGACCAGACCGGAAGTCAAAATATAACTTCCGGTTTTCAAAATAACAGACTTTGGTTTATGAGGATAAAATCACAAACATGACTATAAAAATCCTCAGAAGTGTTACACTTATAAACGACACGTACCAGAAAAAAGACTTAGTGGACAAGCAGTATATGATAGTCTGTATACCTGAATGATGACACCTTCAGCCAGGATCTATTTTTATTCACCATGAGAGTCCCTTTAGTCATCACATCTGGCATTCGACCCTTCATCGTGGGAGGTGGTGAGCTGCAGCACTGGCTACTTGGTGACTTAAGATATTAGATATTATAAACATGTTTTTAATCATTTTAAAATCTTTTTTACACTTTCATTTTTTTGTTTTGGTGAAGCGCCTGTGATTTTTATCTTGAGAGACTAAAACGGAGGTCTGAGTCAAATTTACAATAATTACTTTTAGATATGTATTTCTCAAAAAATATATTATTATTAGTAGTAGCAGGAGCAGCAGTAGTAGTGGCAGTAGTAGTATAGCAGTAGTAGTGGCAGTAGTAGTATAGCAGTAGTAGTAGCAGCAGCAGGCAGTAATAGTAGTAGTAGTAGTAGTAGTAGCAACAGCAGCAGTAGTAATAGTAGTAGTAGTAGTAGCAGCAGCAGTAGTAATAGTAGATCTATGTGAAGCACTTTGTGATTCTATGTCTGTGATGAGTGCTATATAAATAAAATTTACTTACTTACTTAGTAGTAGTAGTGGTAGTAGTATAGCAGCAGCAGCAGCAGTAGTAGTAATAGAAGTAGCAGCAGCAGTAATAATAGAAGTAGTAGTATTAGTAGTATAGCAGTAGTAGTAGTAGTATAGCTGCAGCAGCAACAGTAGTAATAGTAGTAGTAGTAGTATAGCAGTAGTGGTAGTAGTATTGCAGTAGTAGTATAGCAGCAGTAGTAGTAGTATAGCAGCAGTAGTAGTAGTAATAGTAGATCTATGTGAAGCACTTTGTGATTCTATGTCTGTGATGAATGCTATATAAATAAAATTTACTTACTTACTTAGTAGCAGTAGTAGTATAGCAGCAGCAGCAGTAGTAGTAGTAGAAGTAGCAGCAGCAGTAGTAATAGAAGTATTAGTATTAGTAGTATAGCAGTAGTAGTAGTAGTATAGCTGCAGCAGCAACAGTAGTAGTAGTAGTAGTAGTAGTAGTATAGCAGTAGTAGTAGTAGTAGTATAGCTGTAGTAGCAGTAGTAGTATAGCAGCAGCAGCAGCAGTAGTAGTAGTAGAAGTAGCAGCAGCAGTAGTAATAGAAGTAGTAGTATTAGTAGTATAGCAGTAGTAGTAGTATAGCTGCAGCAGCAACAGTAGTAATAGTAGTAGTAGTAGTATTATAGCAGTAGTGGTAGTAGTATTGCAGTAGTAGTATAGCAGCAGTAGTAGTAGTATAGCAGCAGTAGTAGTAGTAATAGTAGATCTATGTGAAGCACTTTGTGATTCTATGTCTGTGATGAATGCTATATAAATAAAATTTACTTACTTACTTAGTAGTAGTAGTAGTATAGCAGCAGCAGCAGTAGTAGTAGTAGAAGTAGCAGCAGCAGTAGTAATAGAAGTAGTAGTATTAGTAGTATAGCAGTAGTAGTAGTAGTATAGCTGCAGCAGCAACAGTAGTAGTAGTAGTAGTAGTAGTAGTATAGCTGTAGTAGTAGTAGTAGTATAGCAGTAGTGGTAGTAGTATTGCAGTAGTAGTATAGCAGTAGTAGTAGTAGTATAGCAGCAGTAGTAGTAGTAGTATAGCAGTAGTAGTCGTAGTAGTAGGATAGCTCTAGTAGTAGTATAGCAGCAGTAGTAGTAGTATAGCAGTAGTAGTAGTAGTAGTAGTAGTATAGCAGTAGTAGTATTAGTAGTAGAATAGCTGTAGTGGTAGTACTAATATAGCTGCAGTAGTATAGCAGTAGTAGTAGTATTAGTAGTAGTATAGCAGTAGTAGTAGTCGTTGTTATAATTGTTATTTTTACAAGTAGTTAGTCAGGTATAAGAGTTTGCTATGACACTAAAGTCCACACACACAGGTGCTCACATAAGTATGGGCTTGGACACGTTAAACACAGGTCTTAAGGCTGTGGTGGGCACTAAATGCACTGTGATTTATTATCGTGATTGTTCAGTTAAACAATGTTGATTATATATTTCTTCATCAAGTTGACGCAGTGATAGCTTGCCCCCCCACCCCCACCCCCACCCCCTGTCTCTTCCTTTCTCTTTCACCTCTGACTCCGTGTCTGGTCGGAATTACAAAGCATTCAAAAACAACAATAAAGTTTTAAGTATCAGGCGTGACATTAAAAGCAGACGCTTTGATGCTCCACCTGAGAGTAAATCTGTAAGGCTTGTCACCAGCATTCAGACATCAGTTCTGTTTGCTTCACAGCCAGACAGGACACGGTAAAAATAAAAAGACACTGAAGTCCAGTATGGTGCATCTTGTGTCAACATGCCTGTAAAACACACACACACACACACACACACACACACACACACACACACACACACACACACACACACACAGCTTTTTCATTGGAGATGATTATTCAGGTTTTGATTGGCAACATCATTTTCCAGGTTTCCTGCAGCTCTGATCTAAGTGCAGATTATGACAACTTCCAATTCACGACATAGAAACATAACCGTTTTAAATTCTAATGAAAACATGGCTCCTGAATGAAAAACTTCCACCTAGGATGTGTTATTTCTGGTGTGATTTTGCACTGATGAGTTCATGGCACAGAAAAACACTTGGTTTGGTATTGCGGCTTGGCGATGGCATGTTAACTAACGGGATAAAGATCCTATTAGTTTCAGATTAGTCAATCATTGATTGATTATGCTAAAAACCCAATCACTGGCTGATTTTGTGGTGAGTCTCTATTCTAAATGGCTGTCCATGGTACTGACCATCAGCCCAGAGGGGTAAAAACAAATAAACATGGAGCAAATGTAGTTCATCGAAGTCACATTTCTATTCTTTTTTCCTCAGCAGAATTCTAATTTTTATTTAATTACTGAAGAAAATTAAAGCAAAACAAACATTTTTAAACGATTCAACCAAGAAAGTACATGAAAATGTAAAAACTTCACGTTTTGACCTTAGTTGTTAAACATTTGGGCGTCCATTGAGGAAGTAATCTAAACAGGGTAAGACTTAGTAAGTAATAATTATTTGGTTTTGCACAGGAAGACACTCCAGAGTAACGATGGAGAAACCGCTCTGCAGACACACACACAGAAGCTAACATCCTGGATCCAGACGTCACTTCTGATTAAATATGCTGCTTATCTTGCAATCTAACCACAGAACAAATTCTCAAAAGCTATCTAAGAAATAACGCCCATAAGTTCAAATCTGAGTGTTTAATCGTCGTCCCAAGTGTGTCCTGTGATCATGAGCTGAAACACAAGGTGCATTCAGCACAAACGTGTTTTAACAAGCCGAACAATAAAGGGCTTTTATTCCAGAGAAAGGTCAGAGGATTCCCTTTCCCATTGCTCTCCTCTTGTTTTTCCTAAACTGCAGACTAGAGGGGCTTGATGGGAGGGGCTGGAATCAGAGGGCCACCTTTGGCTCCTGTGTGGAAACAGTGTGCTTCCTTCTGATGGCTCGCCCTCCCCGTTTGGTTGAAACCAGCCACCTCCGCCTGATCCTAGCCCGCTGCATCCCACACAAACACACGTTTATAGGCCCCGCCCTCCTCTGGGTCTGCTGAGTCAACTCCTGCACAGGAAGGATGCCGTTGTTTGATCACGGATCTGAGCTGATGGCTTCCTTAAGCACCTTTCCTCAACCCCCGTCTTTAGTCTCCAAGGTCGTACGAATCACCGGAGACGTTTTCTTCACAGCAAAATTCAGAAAGGACACGTGTTGAGTCAGGGTCACCAATCATGTGATCCTGTTATGAAACTGGGACACAAAAGAGGGAAGCACCTCCACAGCGCTTCCAAGTTTCACAAAGTTAAAATCCACCATTTTTATTCACTCTGAGGCAGACAAACAACAATTAAATTGAAATATGAACTTTATTTCACCCGTACAAAATAAAAAGAACATTAAAAGTTTACAATACAGCGTGAACTGTCTGCTGTTTGATAGAGGTTAACAGATAGATGGGATTCCCACCTCTGCTGTCATTTAAAAGAATCTAAAAGAGGGTGGATACTACAGATGGAGGGGCAACATTCCAGGGTGTGGCCAGATGTGAATTTAGAAATGACAAAAACAAATTAAAAGTCCAAATAAAGAGCAATTCAGGGAAATTTAATAGTCGTATCAAATAATACATGTTCCAACTGGAAGCTTCAAAAAGAATCAGCAACACATAAATAATCATGGATGAATCAGCTGAATTCAGGGCTGAGGAGGTTTTGGAAAACAGCCAGAAACAATGGCTCCCTAGCGTATCGTAGTCTGATGTGAGGAATGAGCAGCAAGACCAGATGAAGCAGAGAACACCTTACGTAGGAGCTAAAGGGCGACATGATGCCTTAACACTTCAGCGGTGAGACGAGGACCGCCTTTACCTTCAGAAATCCCAAGCAGACTCCTGCCCTGAACTCTTCCCAGCTAGTGTACGCGTTAAAAAGCTGGAATTAGGTTTAACTACCAGGTGTTCAACACTTCCAGCCAACCGTTACTTTAGTAGATCCTGTCCAGAGAAATAAGGAAGAAAAGTAAAGAAGAGTTGCAACACAAACCACACCTATCTTCTCTCAGGGGCTCATAGCAAAACAGTGACTCCTGCATCTTTTTTCTTCTAGTCAAAAATCCAACAAGCGACTTGTTAAAAAAACATCCAGGGTGGACACTTCCTCTACAATAAAATAAAACCCTTAAAAAAAATTAAAACACCTAATATACGAGTTTAGACTCTTGCAGCGGTCCTGTTGTTACGGAGCGGTGATGAAGTCTCTCCCCTCGCCGGCGTCAGCGGATCAACTCAACCATCTCATCGTAGTGCTGAAGGACTGGGTGTGTGTGTGTGTGTGTGTGTGTGTGGGAGGGGGTGAGAGAGAGAAAGCACAGCAGAAAAAGGAGCTAAGAGTCGTAGTCTTCATCATCATCATCGTCTTCCATTGCTGAAGGCGGGGCGTAAATGGCCCGGTAGGTGGTGTGTGGGCTGCCGGTCCAACTGGAAGGGTGAACCAGGTGTTAGAGCCTTTCAAAATAAAAGTCTTTACTTCAGTCTGACTACATACTGGCAACAAAGCCAACAGTCTGCCTCCTCTGACTGATTTCTAACTAATTCAAGTGTTATTAGTATAAAAGCTGAAATATTATAAACAAGATAATCGGTTCGTAAAGGACTTTAGGAGATTTATGTAGCGGGAGCCTGTTCTACTGCCCTGCAGAAACATCACTGAAAGAGTCTTTAGATTTGGTTACAGCTTAGCGTGATAAACGTCACGTAACTCTACTAATGGATTAAACCATTGGTCAGCTTGTGATCGTCACCTCACCACACGGCTCCTCCCACCACTTACACCCAGCCACCGTCCTGATTGCAATTCCCCGCGCACCTGTGCTGCTCCACTCCGCCCTTTAACTGCCTACCTGTATTGCACCTCTCCCTCAGCCTCCTGCGAGCAGCAGCATGTTGGGAAGGAGCTGGAAAGCAAAGAAGCGATTGTTTACATTTTCTCTCCAAGCACCGAGGTTGTTAATCCCGCTACGCTGGTGATAAAAGGAAACGAGTTCACTTTCGCCGAAGCCGACGCCATCGCCACTTTATCTGATCAATCCGACAACAGATGTAAGAGCACAGCGATCTCTGTTGGAAAACAAAACAAACCTTCTCTGGACCTCCAGCTGAACAATCCTCAGCTCACATCAAAACGTGAGTCTAACCCACAAAGACTAGTACATCAAATATAAGAGAGAATCAGATAATAAAGGGGGAACTTTGTCTTCTTCAGTAAAAACTTACACTCCTTGTTGGGTTCCGTAAAGTCACCCTGTCGAGTAAGTTTATCTATTTTTATTTCTTTACCCTTAACATAGAAAAATGTACATATTGTAAATTAGTATTCTGTGTTATAGCTTCATTCTGTTCTACCCCTGTCCACCACGCCGGGCCTCAGGAGGAAGAATAAATAAATGGACTTCTAAAGAACTTCCAGAATTGACTTCCTGAACTTTTGATTTGTTGGTGTTATCTTTGTTTTTCTTAAAGTTTGTATAAGGGTACATATCTAGTACTATATGTCCTTGTGTAGCGGGTTTTCCTTTAATTATTAAAGCATCCTATAAGTCAGGAGGGAGACCTGGCTGGCACCCCTAAAAATAAATTAAAAATACATTAACTTACGAGCTTAATTACCTGAAATGGACAAAACTCATGAAAAAATCAAACATAGAAAATCGGCTATTTCTTTAGATTTGTGCCTAAACAGAATAATTAGTGATGCACCGATATGAAAGTTTTGGGCCGATAGCCGATATTGAGATCACGGTTATGGCCGATACCGATGTATTGACACTAATTACGTTATTATGTACACACAACACACACATTTTTGGTTCTGAGATGATTTCATTCACTGTTCACATGACTAAACAATCATTCATCATAATATGCTGTCCTCCTCAGTCGTCTTCCATGAAGTCCTCTCTGGCTATGTTCCCACTGCAGGCCTTAATGATCAATTAGGATTTATTTAAAATTAAATCTAATGTTTTTGTGTGATTGTTCACATTAGAACTGAAATGCAAGAGCAACTGTACACAAGCCCAAAGCACATGCAGAAGAAGACAAGTCACCGAGAGCGCCCAGTGGAGTCAGAACCAGGAGCGGCACGGTTGTGGTGAGAAAGCCTTCACTGACAGTTCATCCACAGCATCACACCTGTCGAGTCTCCCACGTTGGAACGAAAACGGTTTTAAAAACTACAAACTAGTTCACTCCTTCCCGCTCTCTCCACATGGGCACTCCCTGAAAATGTTCCTGTATTAAGTCCATTCATGGAGAACACCCCTCCTAACTGCTTCCATGGAGACCAGAGAGGCACTTTGCTTCCCCCCCCCCCCACCCCCCCCAAAAAAAAAAACATATGGGTAACATGCACTGGTGGTGGAAAATTTGCTCCCGTGGTGGGAGAGGATGCCGGTCAGGCCAGCAGGCCCAAACGTATTGTGAGGGTCTGTTGGGAACACCTGGTGTAGACTCCTGTCAGAAGAAGGTTCAATTCCCACCTCCGACAGAACTTCCAAAATGTTCCGGGCTTCCATTGTTGAGGCAGCTGACCGAAGCTGTGGCCGTAGGGTCGTCGGTGTCTGTCATGGTGGAAATCCTTGAACCCGCCGGTGGACATTGATGTTTAGGAATGTCGTCAAGCTGAAAAAAGAATCATATCAGGTCTTTTTGGCTCGTGGGACTCCCCAGGCAGCTGATGGGTACCGGCAGGCCAAGCGGAATGCAGCTCGGGTAGTTGCAGAGGCAAAAGCCCAGGAGTGGGAGGAGTTCAGTGAGACTTTTGAGCAAGACTTCCGCATGGCTTCGAGGAGATTCTGGTCCACCATCTGGCACCTCAGGAGGGGAAAGCAGTGCTTACCAACACCATTTATAGTGGAAACGGTGCGCTGCTGACCTTTACAAGGATTGTGGATCAGTGGGCGTAGTACTTTGAAGACATCCTCAATCCCACCAGCACGTCTTCCAATGAGGAAGCAGAGTCCGGGAACTCTGGGTTGGGCTCTCCAATCCCTGGTGCTGAGGTCATTGAGCAGGTCAAAAAGCTCCTCGGTGACGAGGCTACACGAGTGGATGACATCCGCCCAGAGTTCCTTAAGGCTCTGGATGTTGAAGGGTTGTGTTGGCTGACTCTATATGTTGGCTCTGCAATACTCCGTGGACATCTTGGACAGTTCAACTGGATTGGCAGACCGGGGTGGTGGTCCCCCTATTTAAAAGGGGGGACTGCAGGATGTGTTCCAACTACAGGGGGATCACACACCTGAGCCTCCCTGGAAAGGGCTATTCAGGGTTCTGGAGAAGATGGTCTGGCAGATTGTTGAACCTCAGATTCAGGAGAAGCAATGTGGTTCTGGTCCTGGCCGTGGAACACTGGACCAGCTCTATACCCTTAGGCTCTATACCCTGGAGGGTGCATGGGAGTTCACCCAACTCATCTACATGTGTTTTGTGGATTTGGAGAAGGCGTTCGAGCGTGCCATTCGAAACGTTTTGCAGCCAAGTGTGAAGCAACTGGGATGAAAATCAGATCCTCTAAATCCGAGACCATGGTCTTGAGTTGGAAAAGGGTAGAATACCTTCTCCGGGTTAGGGATGAGGTCCTGCCTCAAGTTGAGTTTAGGTATCTCCAGGTCTTGTTCACAAGGATGGGAAAGATGTAGCGCAAGATCAACGTCTTGCCTCAAGTTGAGGAGTTAAAGTATATCGGGGTCTTGATCACGAGTGAGGGAAAGATGGAGCGCAAGACCGACAGGTGGATTGGTGCTGCATCTGCAGTGATGCGGGAGTTGTAGCGGTCTGTCGTGGTGAAGAGAGAGCTGAGCCAGAAGGCGAAGCTCTCGATTTACCGGTCGATCTACGTTCCTACCCTCACCTATGGTCATGAGCTTTGGGTAATGACAGAAGGAACGAGGTCACAAAATGAGTTTTCTCTGCAGGGTGGCTGGGCTCTCCCTTAGAGATAGGGTCAGAAGTTCAGTCATCTGGGAGGGGCTCAGAGTAGACCTGCTGCTCCTCCACATCAAGAGGAGCCAATTGAGGTGGCTTTGTCCTCTAATTAGAATGCCTCCCTGGTGAGGTTTTCCAGGCACGTCCAACCGGAAGAAGACGTAAAGGAAGACCCAGGACACGGTGGAGGGACCGTGTCTCTCTGATAGCCGGGGAACGCCTTAGAATTCCCCTGGAAAAGTTGGCCCAAGTGGCTGGGGAGAGGGAAGTCTGGGCCTCCCTGCTTAGGCTGCTGCCCCCACAACCCAACCTTGGATAAGCAGCCAAAAATGGATGAATGGATGGGTCACGTGGGGAAAAAATCAGATCTGATGTGCTTTTTCCTGCAGTGTGAACCCAGCCTTTTGAGTTAAACAGAAACAGATCCGACGTTGATAAACCTTGACCTTGGGCTTGACCTCTGGCTTTTTTGTAAATTGTTCTGGTCTCTTTGGTTACCATTCATTTCATCCATTTCAATCAGTCATTGGTTGTCCTCTTGTTTCCACACCCTGGAAGGTTGTCCACAGTCCTGTTGACATTAAACTGCTGACAAACGTTTTCAGCTGTAGTCAGCGGAACATCAAGCTGGTGATGGGATGAGATGGTCTTCTAGTCTTTCCCTCCAACATGTCGGTCTGGTCTGCAATATTTTTCTAATCTCCTGAGACAACTGTCCAGCTTTCTGTTGTCCTTGTTCGGTGTGTACACACCCTTCTACCAAACACCACCGTGACTATCCTTCAGCCTTTAAACAGAAAACGGGCTGAAGACCAGACTGAGGACACCTGTGTGCTGATTACAGGACACACCTGAGTTTAACACGCCCCTGCGGTCATGTTAGTTTTATGTGGTTTTGTTTGAGTTTGTTGAAGCACAATTAAAAAGCTATTTGTTATTTTATTACTTGATTGTCACTAATGATGATTACTATCAGGTTTAAGTTACTCAGGGACCATTGTGGGGTTTTCATCCTATGAAAGGTAGCAACAACTTTATTCACACCTGTAGCTTTAAGAGAAACAGGAGAGAAGTACTTATAACTGCTGAAAGCTCTGCTTTTAGTCCTTTCCTGGTAGAAATGGACAATGAATGAGTCTAAGCTGTAAAGGTGATGTGGAACAGGTGTTTGGGCGGAGAACCACCAGCTCCCTCTAGTGGTTATGGGTGGCAAAGCCAGCTATGGATTCATTCCAATGTTCATCAAGAGGAGTCCATGTTGCCATGGAGACGCTATGTTGCTTGTTTTAATAGAGAGATGGTCTTTGACTTTAGGGGTCTGACATGTCATCCACCTATTCTACTAGAACAGCACCTTTTGGATGGGGCAGCAATGCTTTTACTGATGCTGACTGAAAATCCGTCTTAATTTAGTCTTTTTCATTTTTAGACTGATTTGTTTTCCCAGCAAGGAGCCAACAGTGGCTCTCACCGGCTGAGCACATACTTTTTATTTAATAAAAACACTTTTGGGATTGTCCTCCTCCTGACAGGTTCCTCACCTTTGGAACATGGATGAAGCCTGCTGATTTGTGCTCGACTGAGAGCCGTCCTCCTCGTCTCCGTCTGTCTCAGTGTCGTCCGTGTCGTCCTGTTTCCACCAGAAGAACACAGTGAGCTCTCTCCACTACCAACACGGCAGTTTCAAGTCTAGCTGGTAGTTTTCGCCCACCTCTAGCTCAGACTCTGTTCCAGACAACTTCTTGTCTTTGCCCTTGGAGCTGGTTCCTCCGTTCTTACGACCAGACCCTGGTTTTCGGCCCCTGGGAGAGGATAAAACAAATATACTTGGTTCTGAGTACTCTTCCCAAAACCTGCTTTTTGACCTTTCCCACAATAGATCAAACATATCAAACTGGACCTTCTCTGTCCATGTAGACCACCTGACCTCAGTGGCAACACCACTCACTTGTGGAGTCTGTCAAGGGTCCGGTCTTGGGTTGGTCCTACGTGCTGCCTTTAGGGTTCAGTCTGAGACATCCAGATTTATTTACCCAACAACCTTCTGGATGTTCTTACTCGTGCTATTACGGAGAGACGAGTCTGTAGACCACCCTGTTGGTGTTCTTGAGTCTTTATCACCATTCACTCTAAAAACTCCAATGAAATATTTGAAAACTCCTTTAAATTTGATACTTCTAGTCACAACTTTCACCAAAGGCAACACTTTGCTTCATTTTTCCAAAGAACTTCAGACATGTTTGAATTTCATCAGTTTCCTGTCCAAGGGTCTAAATCAGGGCTGCGCAGTGGTGCAGTGGTTAGAGCTGTTGCCTTGCAGCAAGAAGGTCCTGGGTTCGATTCCCGGCCTGGGATCTTTCTGCGTGGAGTTAGCATGTTCTCCCTGTGCATGTGTGGGTTCTCTCCGGGTTCTCCGGCTTCCTCCCATGGTCCAAAAACGTGACTGTTAGGTTGACTGGTCTGTCTATATTGTCCCTAGGTGTGTGTGTGTGTGTGTGTGTGTGTGTGTGTGTGTGTGTGTGTGGGATTGTTTGTCCTGTGTGTCTGTGTTGCCCTGCGATGGACTGGCTCTCTGTCCAGGGTGTACCCCACCTAATTGGCCATTGACTGCTGGAGATAGGCACCGGCACCAGCGCCCCAGCCATCTCTGCTACTGATTAGCTGTGACGCTAGAAGCTGATTGTTGCTGTAAGAAAGAAAGAGTCTGAAATACCTGCGCTGGACTTTTTCTCCTCCCACCTCTGTGTGGCTCTCCTCCCCCTCCCCTTGCATGTCTGGCACCGTTGCCACCAGGTCTTTTAGAAAATCAAACTGTTGCTCCAGCTCAATGCACTGCTTTCTGCAAAACAAATTCAACCATCTTCAGTCTTCTGCAGCTGTGCTCTGAGCATAGACTCTGAATTTATGTGCAAACAGAAGGAGTTCTTATCTGTATCAATAACACTGGCGGTCTGAGCATAAATGTGCAGATAAAAGATAACGCGTTTGTAATCTAATCAGCTGGAAATCGGTTCCACTTGTTTATCAACATTATAGACACCATCAAATACATAAACAGTGTTGTGAAAGAGAATCTGCTCCCTTACAGGTTTCTGTTGTTTTTGATTTGTCCTCACATTTTAACAAGTGAAAAAATATCAACATGAGAAATAAAAGTGAACTTTCTAAAACCTCTGCTGACCAAAAACAACACAAACATTCATCATTTGCCCAAAGAACATCTAGAGCAGTGGTTCCCAACCTTTTTCCCAAGGGACCCCATTTTTACCAGTAACATTTTTGTCGACCCCCCCCCCCCCCTTCTCTCTTCCAGTACAAACATTATTAATAAATGATAAAATGGTTCAAGCACATTGTAATATGCTTTGATTCAATAGATAACAGTAATAGTAGGCTCCAGTACAGAACAAAGTCATCAACCAAACCAAACAGAGCATAATGTGCTTGACAGTTTGTATTACTTTTCTGAACACATTGTTTCTCATAAACACTGATAAATCAATCATTCCTTTCAATAAACGTTCGACACATAAAAATACACTGAGTAAAATGTACTTAAATGTGTATATTACTGTTTATACTAGATTATTTACTGTAAAGGCTGTGATTAATCAACCAGTCCTATCTTTAATGAACTTTTGACACTTGAAAATAAAACAGTGAGCTGAGCAGAATGTTCTTAAAAGTGTGTTACTTTTTCTGTACTAATTATTTCCTGTCCTAATATCAGTAAACTTTTCACTCATGAAAAAAATGTGAGCAAAATGTAGGCTATAAACAAGTAATAAATGAAGTTTTAACCCCTTAAAGTGGAGAGGTCCTGGTGACCCAATGAGAGGCTTTGGCGCCCCCTTGTGGGGGTCGGGACCCCCAGGTTAGGAACCACTGGTGTAGATGATCCACAAGGCCTTTGGGAAACATTCTGCTCTGATGAGACAAAGGCAAAAAGTTGTAGAAGGCTCCATCTAGAGTAAAACTAGCGCTAGAATATTGTAACAGTCAGACATAGAGGTGGCAGTGTGATGGTCAGGGGCTGCTCTGCTGCATCAGGACATGGGCCACTTGCTGTAACTGGAATCAGCTCTCCTGAAGGACAACATCTGACCTTCGACCTTAAACAGGTCATTCATGCTGGAAACCCTTAGCCTAGTGAACTAGACCAAATTCTTGCTTTGCAAAGTCTAGGCACGCTCCACTGGGACCTCCGCAGCTCCTACCAGGACTCTGGCTGGCCAATCACAGCTCTCTAGAGGGGTTTCAAACACATAAAGAGCTGTGATTGGTCCATAATGGTGGGCCAATCATAGTGCTCTATCTGCTTAGTGAACAAATCACAGAGCTTTATCCGCTTTGTGGGCCAATCAGGGCACTCTATATGCCTGGTGGGTGGGATGATGCAACAGAGTGAAACAAGAGTACGTCACATTCTTTGTCCAGTGGAATGCGGAGATCATTTGGAAGACAACGGTAGAACCCGCCCCACAACCGAGAGCCGTCAATGGAGCGTGGCCAGACTAAATAATACATTTATTTAGTCTGGCTTGCCAGGCTAGGAGACCCTCCCAACGTGGCTGAATTATTATTACTGCGTAACGACAAAACTCCTCCACAGTCATGCAGGACTCGTTACCAGTTATATCATAGACACTTGACTGCAGATGTTGCTTCAGAGTGTATCAACCTGTAGGATCAGGTTGGTTTACACAGATTTTGTTCCCTTAATTAAATAATCATTAGAAAACTGCATTTTCCATTTATTCTAGTTAACTTTGTCTGATGAGGATGCTTCTTTGCTAATCTGTTTTTTTTTATGTTTAAAGAGCAAGTCACCCCAAAACCACTATTTTTTGCTGATAAATTGAGTGTCTAATCGTGCTGCACACACATGGAGTCAATATTTTGGCCCTTTAGTGCATCTTAGTTCAAATTTAAATAAATATTCTGCTTAAAACCGTCAGTATTGAATCGTCTTCAGATAAAAACTCTGCACTGCATTTGAATTTAAATCTGCCATCGCTATGGGCTAAGAGGTACTCCATGACATTAGCTGGTACATTATGATGTCACAATGTCTGTGAGAATGTGTGTGTATTTATTAGCGGCTCCGCCCTCTCGATCTGCTAGACAACAGCACTTGCATTTTTTAAACAGGGAGTGGAGTAAGACTCTGGTAGGGGGTGACTTGCTCTTTAAATGTTTCAAAGACCTGAGGGGCAGATACTTTTTACAGCACTTGATAAAAGTGAGTATTATAGATAAATGAGGGGGCTGACATTCAACCCTGAAGTGCTGTAACAGTAAAAACAACAATGAATCTTTAAATCTGAATATTTTTTTATGTTTACATGTAAAATAACACACTAATAAAAGGTTTGACTCAAACACAAGACTTACAGATGTGATGTTGTCATAGTCTTTGCATTCCTCGACTGGGTGACGTGACAAGCCTTTGTAAGCAAAGACTCCAGAAAGAGTTCAAGAGCTCTCGCTGATGACTCAGTGAAGGAAACATCAACAACAGCATAAATGCTTATGATTCTCTTTAAAATGATTTTTTCATCAAAGATATTACAGAGATTCAAAATGCTTTGTAGTTTGTACATGACTGTACAAGTAAAAGCAACAATTCGCAAATATCCAACCTTTACAGAAAAAAGGATACAGATAATAACAGGAACTGCTGCAGCCACTTTGCCGATTTCTTCGTCTGTCTGCATAATCTTCTTAATTCTTGCCTAAAACAAAAATAAATGTTATTTTCTGTATGTCTTAAAGCAGTTTTTTCTCCTCATTACTGTAAAATCGTATCACAGACTAACTGTTAGCAGAACATTAAAAACAGCTCAGTGAAGAACCCAACCCCTCAGTTCATTTATTTACATATGTGTTAACTTTGTTATATGCAAGTCCATATGCAGGTAAATAATAAGTACAAGAACTCTATCATAGAATTTCTGCATGTATAATTTACCATGTCGGTGGTAGGCAATGCTAAAAACAACCAAAGTCAAGTCGAACGACTGATGTCTCAGCAAATAAATATATACATGAAAATAGCTTTTTTAGCTGATTGAGGGAAACCTACAACCTGTAAGTGGCTAAGTTGTAGTTCAGTGAAAAACATCAGGGATGCTAATTTGGTTTTCCATTCCATTAGACCAAATAAAGCCCGAATCTCCTGAAGCTAACCACAACTAGCTGCTCCTGTTTGCTCGTTTCAAATGAAAGTTTTGACTCACCGGAGGAAATCTGGCGTTGTACTTCTTCTTTTTGCTGGGCATAGTTAAACAACCTGGGAGGATAAACTACAAAACAAAGTATTCAGGATTATATTCGTATATCATATGTGATTCAATCCAACCGCACATACAACAGATATTGGTAGCTAACCGGCTAACTTGTTAGCACGTCGTCAGTCGTTCCTTGGTGCTCCTCCGCAAACAGGTCCGGTCACTTTGGTTCCGCTAACTTCCAGCGAACACTGTGATGCTAGCATTTTAATCTGAGCGTTCCACGTATTAATTAGTTGAGATATGTTTCATATATTAATGTTTAAAGACCATTATTAGTACGAATAGTTCACTAAGATAATGGGCATTCTATTGGTATTTGCCTGAAAGCTAAGTTTTCTCTTTTGCAGTCGGGCGACAACAGCTCTGCCCAATGCGCATGAGCGAAAGTGCAGCGCCTTATGAAAAACCGCTGCAGCTAGCCAGTCGGCTAGCAGCAACTAGAAGGAAGTATTTCGGTTGTTTTCTTTCATGTTACTGCAAACAGGAGCTGCTAACAGTCGTCCGAATGGGGAACAATCTGTAGAACAAGCAGGGTTTTGGTAAGATGCTTTAAATATGTAGTAAATTATGCTAAATGTGGTCTGTTAGTTGGCACCGCTGAATCTTATAGGCCAGATGGGTCAAACGTTATAAACTTGGTCAGAGTTCAGGGTCGATAGCGGAAGAGATGTTTTATAATGTTTTTGTGGTTTCTTATTTAAGTGAGATTTCTAGAAAATTAATATATCGTATTATTTTCCTTAACGTATTGTATTAAACATTTACCAAATGCTTTCACGACTGTTTAAAATCCCTCGATGAAAATAAAAGTACGCAAATTTAAATATTAATTTTTAAAATGTTAGGAGAAGTAAAAACTGCTAGTTGAAGACGAGCCTGTGTTGCCAGATAAAAGCCAGAGCCACAAACCCAACATCGCTGGGGCTTCAATCAAACTACTGTACTGAGAAGTCCAAACCTCCAAGTTTGTTATGTTTCTAATCAAATGAGCAGAGTTCCTTAGGGCGGCTCCAGACTGGTAGCAGTGCTCTGTCCTGATGCATTCTGGGGCTTGTAGTTTTAGTGGTAATTTGAACTACAGTACCACAGGCCGTCTGTTTGTGTATTCAAACATGTGAGGTGTTTTTAAAGCCAGACTGTTTGTTTCCACTCAGCAGAACAAACGACTGGATTCGTCCACTCTAAAAGCATGATGGAGGGAGAAGGAGCCCCTGTAGATGGAGAGGGGGAAACCCCGTTCATGGCTGAGGCCTTTGCCGCTGAGGCCATGGCTGCAGACATGGATCCCTGGATAGTTTTTGACTCCAGAAGAACTCCCAGATCAGAGTTTGAAGGCTGGCTGGAGAGTAACAGACCCTCGCAGGTGTACAGGTTTGGTGCTGAGGAGGAGAGTGGCTGCCGGGTGGGGTGGATCGCTGTTCTCGGGCCGGACCACTGCCCTGGTGGCGGGGATGTCATGGGTCTCCAGGAGAGTTGGGAGAAACTTTTGGCCAGCAGCAGGCCTGTCACGTTCCAAACGGTGAAAGAGCTGGCTCTGAATCACGGCGTGCTCACGGGGAAGTGGCTGATGCACTTGGATTCAGGCTTCAAACTAGACCACGCATGGGAGTGCGTGGCCAGAGCAACCCTGGAGGGCAAGATCTCCACTGTCAAAGTAAGCCCCTTTAACCCCAAGGCAGAAGGCAAGCAGGTCATTTGTGCCTATAACCACAACTTCACCGATGAGAGTGAAGTGATGAGGTTGGACTCGGTCATCCGCGCCACAGGGGTCAAATGCCCCCTCTCCTACAAGCCAGATGTTTACACATACCTGGGAATCTACAGGAACAATCTCTGGAAGCTCTGCCCAACAATTTATGAGAGCAAGTTTGACTTGGAATGTGTTCCCCGGCGCTCCCACATCATCAACAAAGTCACGAGGCTGGAAGTCACCTAGAACCAGTCTGGACAGGAGAGTGGCGTTGTGACCGTCTCGCATGAAGCCCGGGCGCTGCAGTTAGCCCGTGGTTCAACTTCAGTCTCATGTTTTTTCGTTTTTGATAAAGGGGAAAAAATATTATTTCAATGTTTTGTTTTATCCATCCTGCTTTCTTAGCTGAATAAGTGACCTGAAATGCGGTTTCAGTTTATGTTGAGTGATGTTTGTGAGCGGCAGGATTGATGAGATCCTTGAATCCTGAGCGTGGGCCTCTCAGTGACTCGGTTATGCTTCCCTTGGTTAAAAAAGATAAATATCTCTTCAGTTCAGCTTTAATCTTTGTTTACTACTCAACCATCGCAGCATTAACAAGTAAAATATACCTTTGAAAACCTGTCTTAATGTTTTGATTTTTTATTGTTAAAGTGTTCTGAATTTAAACAAGATTAGACATTCATACCAGATAATAGCATGGTTTTCTGTGTACAAGTAAAGAAAGGCAGAACTTCAGCATAGAGACGTTTAGAAGTCTGTTTTCTGTGAAAGCTCTCCGTAAACACAGTTTGAGCTCAGACCAAGGCGGCTGGATGTCATCTTAAAACCGTTCCTGCCAAAATAACTGGTACAAAACTAATGGCTGCGAGAAGATTTAGAAAATAACAGGAACAGTGAAAGTTCTGGAGATCAGGCCCGGCTGGTTTTAGGTCTATGAAGTCACTCTGCTGCCACCTTCAAACGGTTACTGTATAAACCTACGCCGAACCCCTGGATGAGCAGAAGGGCTGGAGCTGATTCGTCCTCCCGTAAACGGCTACAGCTTTGGGGAAGTTTATTAAATATTAAGGCAGCAGCAGTGGTCTTCAGTAACGTTCACACAACTTCTCAACGGTGGAAATACACGCCCGTTTGCACGTCTTTCCATCTGAGCCAGGTTCAGGACATGGTTGTCTTGAACCTCGTACTGAAAATAATTAAGTTAAAAATGTGGTTTAATGGCAGAATAATGAAGAGTTTACAGCAATTATGAGCGCTTCTAGAAAATGTATTTCTGACCCTGTGAGATATGAAGTCCGCGTCGACTCTGTTACAGAAACATCCAAACGGCTGAAAAATCCCTTTAACAACTTACTACAAAGCTGACGTAAAACGTGTGTAAGTGGTGAACTGTCGTCTTTATAAAGTACAAAAACCATCCTGTGGAAGAGTTGTAAGCTTCTGAGCTTCTGGTTGAATTGTATTTACATTTAAACCTTCATTTGGTTTGATGGGCTCACACCGCAACTGCTGACCTTCAGTGAACATTACCACCACCTGACAGAAACCGTGTACTTGTGTAGGCTCACCTCTAAGAAGTACCGGGCCTTTTGCTTTGGAGTAAAAATGGCTGATTTTAAACACTTCTACGAACAAAGCAACCAAAAGTGGTTCAGAAAGACGCTCAACAGGCTCCATCGATACATCGACACCTTCATCAAAACCTTCCACGTGACCCTTAAAGCTCCTCACACTGGCTACACTGGTGTGATTGGCTGAACTTGGCCAGTCCTGTAGTTGCTGTGATAGTTTTTCAGTAAGTACATCCACAGTGGAAAGTCACGTCCACCCTCCACCTTTGTCCATGTTAGTGGACTTTCTGTCCTCAGGAGGGCGGACAGAAGAGGTCTTTGGGGGGACTACTCCTAGGTTGGGTGTCCCGACACAAACCCAGCATGGCTTCCGCTGTTAAAAATCGAAATGAGACGCTCTTCATCGGCAGACATCAGCTCCTCCAGATCGTCCAGCACCGTGGGCTGGTGGTTGCTGCTGCTGCCAGGACCAGCTACCATCATGGTCTCGCTCCGCAGCAGGTTAGCGATGCTGTTGGGGTAATTCATGTAGGTGCTTCCTGGATTACTGACTGGTTCAGAGGGGTTCTGGGACACTGAGCCGTTATGGGGGCCAGCAGCAGAGTTGGGAACGGCCACAAACATGGAGGCGCTGTTTCCAACATCAAGTCGGGGGTTCAATAGGTCCACAAGGTCCTCCATGTTTAGACTGTCCAGGGTGCTGGGAACCTGGGCATCGGAAAAGCTGGGGAAGTCCTCATCCACGAGTGTTGTTTCCACTTGGAACTGAGAGTCCGGGTTGGAGAAGATGGTGCCGGGCTGGGTGGGCTCCGTGTTTCCCTGAGCAGCTGCTGGCTCCTGGGAGATGGCTGAGGACATGTTAGGGAAGAACTCATGAAGGTCTGACAGGTTGACTGTTTGGTAGTCCTGGCTGGCTGCGGTGGCGCTGGTGGTGGGGGCCATGGAGGCAGGGGGTGCTGCTGAGCTCATTATAAAGGGAAGTGGGTTGTTTTTGGGCTGAGGGCCCATCTTTAGACTCTCCATGATCTTCCAGGGCTCAGTCGCAGCTGCTGTAGTGACTTTGGGTTGGACCGAAGCGAACTGTGCTGGCTGAATGCACGAGTAGGTGGACTGCGGTTTCATCCCACTGGCACCAGGGGGCGCTTCAGTAACTGGAAACAGACCGCAGGAGCAGATTCAGGCACAGTGTTGAACCCATTCAGTACATTTCTACCGTTGTAGGTTAACCGTCATTAACCAGATTATCTGTTATCCTCCAACCAGACCCCAACTGTGACGTAAGGCACTGGTTCCCAGTTACCACAAACACTTCAACAGTTTGACAACCAGTAACTAAGTTCAGAGGTTGTTTCCTTTTTCACACAATGGCAGGTTGGTTTTGATAGATGTGTTCCCTCAACACTCTGGACACATTCAGGAGATGAAGACCAGACACCTACCGGCCTGGGCGCTCATTGAGATGGGTTTAGGTGTGACTCTTCGTGCAGAGTTCATCGGTCGCCTCTCTTGTGAAATGGACACTGAAACAGCAACAGACATGGTTTCATTACAGCGAAGGAGAAGAAGCCAGAAGAAAAGAGCAGCGGGTCAACACACCACTAGATAACATGGGACCCAGTTTGAGGTTCTGGAACATGTCTCCTGTTCGCTTCCTCTTCTCGCTCAGCCGGTATTCGTCTGTAACGAGATCATTTCTCAGAATGAACAAATTTTGCTAAATTAAAATTACTCCCGGGAAGACAGGAGACCGTGGAACTCATCTTCTTACCAGGGTCAGACGGTAGGTACTGGAAGTCCATCGGCTCGCTGACCTCTCGGTCAGATGGCCGCCGGAGCTGCATCTTGACCTTAATAGGCTCACCAAGGTTAGTGTCGCGGTACGGCGGCGTCCGAAACACAATTGCCACCTGCCTGTGAACGTCAGCCTGGGAGAACGTGCCCTTGCCCTCCCACGAATCCTGGAAGAAGCGCACCTCGATGTCTTCTGCAGGATGAGGAGGTGGAAACGTAACCAGGTGACCAACACCAACAATGGTCTCTCATGTTTGCAGAAATCAACATTAGTTTTGTTTTCTCTCCGACACAAACAGCCTGACGGATCCTTCAAGCCTCTTGGAAACCAAAGAGAACATCAAGAATAAAGTCCAGAGCTGGACTCCTCCGAAGCAATAAAGAGACCCTGGGATCATCTCAAAACTGAAATACTAAGATCACAACTGGAAGGGCTGGGCGATAAGGAGAAGACTCCCATCACGATACACAAAAAATCACTGCTTTTGCCTGTCTTTGCTGTTCTCTGCTATCTCTAAGTGAGATTTAAAAGACATCTAAAGATTATTTTTGATAAACCTTTATTTACAAAAGCTGAGCATGTTATGGATAAATGAGAGGTTTATTGTGAAGGGACTGGTCAGCGGCTAAATTCCTTTGGCATGTGTACATCAGTATTAAAACCTCGTCTGAAGAGGGTCTTCGGATCGTTTAGAAAATCCTGTGCTTTTAAAACCAGATCTGAGCCTGAACCAGCGGACGACGTCACGCCGGGAACGCTCCACAAACATCAGCGTAAGCAGTAGCAGAGTTAGTGTTCCTGTGTTAGGATTACAGCAGAGGACCGAGGCCCAGATGGAGGTTACTACGTCAGATAAAAATGTCTGCAGGTCTCGGACATACGAGTGTAGAGGAGGAAAGTTTGATTTATAGAACGATTTATGACAAAAGTCCTTAACAAAATAAAAACTGAACCCAGTTCATCTTTATGTAGATGGTAAAGTGAAACTGAATTTCTACGGTTTTCATGCAGTCTGGCCAATCTCTTTAAACTAAACATCTTCGAGCATCGCAGGAGAACAAAACTAAAACGGAAACGTCCTCCTGTTGGGATCACATAAAAACAAGCACTGAAATATTAAATTCTCTACCTTTCCTTGCGTGTTTAACAATAAACATTTATAATAAGCATACAGTATAGGGAGCCTAAGACACGCCCACCTACTTCCTGACCATGTGTCCCCGGAAAAACGAAATAACGAATGCAAGTCAACGGAGCTAAAAACGTTATTTTCTTATAAACGCGCCATGCCAACATGGCGTTGCGTGAACTTTGCGGCATTCGTTCCTCCTCTCTTGGTAGTCATTTTGCGGTAATGGTCAGTCTTATAAACGGCTACTGTGCCATGGCACAACAGAGGGAAGTGTCGTGACGACGGGGGAATTAATGCCGAGCTTCGTCCGACAAATATGTTGAAAAATGAAAGTAAACACGGGCAATAAGTTTTGCGCCCGCCCCATACCCCCTATATGCCGCCATTGTGTAATCTTTTATAAAAGAACATGATTGCACCACGTTACCGCCATGGTCCAACCACTTACACACGACCTAAGGGTTCCTGATGCCGCCGCGGCGTTGCGGCTAATTGACAGCCTTGCTTAGTAAAACGGCTTCAGATTCAACATAAGTATGTGATTAGACTTCTGCAGCTTGGTAACATGCTGAACAGGTCGTTAGACGTGTTGGAGCAGGGAAACAGCTAAAACATGCTGAAGGGTGGCCCAAGAGGATGACACCACTGCTCATTGACTTTAACATCTTTAATGAACTTATGGTTTGTTAAAATATGAAAACGTTCCCGACCAATCCAACGTCTGACTTTTCCTTTCTGTCGAGTCAGTCTCGAGTTAAATCCTGTTACACACACTTGTGACTGCAAAGCAGGAAGCAGCGACACGATGAAAGTGCTGTGCTGTTTCGCTTCTGCGTGTCAGGAGCACACCCGGACTTCCTGTCTAGGGCTTTCACCTTTTCCATTCACAAGTCTCACATCTGCTTAGTCACTTGTGAGCTCTATTTATGAATCATTTGGCGTGAAGGTGCAAGTTGAGAGATGCACAGTGACTTTCTGTGATCTACAGTGAGCTCGGTCACCTTTTTGCACTTTGTCACACAGCAGGAAGATTTCATCCCCTCCTTTGCAGCTCCCCGAGTTGCGGTTGACTCTGCAGATCTTTAACTCAGCTGTGTTTGGGGCTCCTGCAAGACAAGACAAAGCATTAGGAAATAAAAAGTCTCTAGAAAGGATTTTTGACAGCCACAGAGGATGTGTTTCATTTGAAAAACCTTCAGCCTGACGAGAAAATTAAACAAACGTGAGAGTGGAAGGATACGGAAAATGCATCACTGTGGTTCATGTATGATAACTGTTAGTTCGCACCGGATTCTCTTATCTTGCAGAGCCGCTCAGGTCGGACGAGACGACTCCGATTGTGATCGGAAAAGCTCTCCAACAGCCGTAACTCCAGTCCAGTCCCGGCAGGTTTTTAGTCAGAGGTTTGCTTTCATTTCCTTCCCTTGTGGTAAGTTTTAAACATAGAAACAACACATTCTGTCTAATGTCTGAGGAGCACTGACGCTTGTTGACATGGAAGAACAGTGGAACAGTTGTTATTTGGGCAGATGTTTTGTTCACTTACTGCTGAACCTTCTGTACAACCTCATTTATTCACAACAAACTGGTTCATTTCAGTTATCGAGACACGCTGTGGCCTCTAGTATGAGCATCTTGTGAGTCGTTCTCTGTGGCTCTGGCACTCCCGTTTCAGGAAGTAAAAGCTAGCCGGAGGAGAGCGGGCAGAAGACAGCCGGTTTTGGAGCCTTAAGCCTGGTTCGTGCTTCTCCGTCAGCTCCAACAGAGACAGACACGCACGGACGGACGGAGACATTTTGCTCATACTTCTCCGTCTCCTGGAGAGTGTTGCAAAGCAATTCCCCGCCAGGACAGCAGAGGGCGTAGCGCTGTTCTGTGGTATCCTGTCATGTATCTGGTCCAAGATAGTGTGTTTATATTGTGTTTGTTGTGTATATAAGAGACTTTTAACACGGACATATTTGACTCTCATTCTCCTCCACCTCTACCTGCACTCCCCACCTCTAAACCCACGTTTCCTGTCATTTCGTCCACAAATAAAACGTTTGCTGCACATCTTTTCACTCCTCCAGTCACGGGGAATTAAACGTTCATATTTTAGATTTTTCGCGAGGTATTCTTCAAGCTTCTCCGTGTCTGCCGCTAGTTATCCTCAGCTCTCTTTATGGATTTGAGGGCGCAATGGCGGCGGTGTAGACGACAGCAGCGTCCTGACCAATCACAAGCTTGCGTTGTCCGTCTCGACGGATGGATGTTTAGAAAAGAGAGCTCGACTCCGTCCGTCCTTGCGGGACTCTCCAGCAGGCATGCAAGGCTGGCTAAGGCGTTGTGTGTCTCCGCACTGACGCAGACGCACGACTCAGGCTTAACTCGTTATTATTCCAACATCTCTCCTCTGATTGGCTAACAGCAACACGAATCTACCACTGACCCCGTTTCCTTTGCAACACTGAAGTTTTATCTCCATAAATGACACAAAACTGAAGGAGTTTTGCTGTGGTGGGGATGCTGATGCAGCGTTTTATCACTGAAATTTCATTTATTTTTTGTGGAGGACAATAAAGAGTAAATTTTCACAGAGTAGTTTTTGTTGCTTGCTGCTGTGCGACGTGCAGACTGGACCTCCAGCAGTACAACATCTCTGTAACCTTTTCACAATAACAGAACACCGTTGTAACGTCCAGCAATGGTCAGCTTTCACTTAAAAACTGACCTACATGCTAGGGATGAGCCGGATACTCGTTTCAGACGAGTATCCGGTACGGATAAAGCATTTTTGACGAGTACGAGCATGAAACGAGTAAAACTGGTAAATATCTGTAATTGTGCTGAAGGAAAATCCTCATTGGGTAACTGACTGTCTTCACGCTCGGTGATTGGCCAGTAAAATAGAGAGCCCGCCCCTCCCTACACACAAAATTGCAGCCGGGAGCTCTGCTCAGTCCGTGTCCGGTCCATCCACGCACACACACAAACAGTAACAGATCTCTCTGTGCTTGCTTCACTGTTCACGTTTCTTCAGTACTCCCTATGTTTTCTTCAGTTCACCTCTTTTTAAAGTTATTTAAAGTTACTTTTTTCGTAACGTACGTGGTGCACTTGACAAGACAGAGCTGAAAACGGCTCGTGCTGCGTCAGTCACTGCCTCCGCTCCGGTCGGGTTTTTTTTCCTCTCCTCTTCCTCAGGAGGATCCACTCCCTCTTTCCTGTTCACTCTCTCTCTTTCTTTACATTTTTTAATCACAATTGTCTATTTTTTGCTCATTTTAAATATATTTTAATCATTTTCTAATTTTTTTCTATTTTACATGTTTTGTTTTTGTGAGGTGCCCTGTGATTTTTATCTTGAGAGGCGCTATAGAAAAGATCTTTTCTTCTCTCTCTCTCTTAATCCATGCACTTAAATATTAATGTTCTGATTTTATTGAAAAACTTGTTCTGTAATAGTTCCTTTACTATTGTGATCAAAAACATTTAATCTCAACTCTGAGGCTGCTCTGTAAATAGTTTTCAAATAAACAATACACATAGCAACTTCTGATCAGACTTAAAATAACGTATTAATGTAAACCACACCCACTTCTGGTTAAACTGCACCCACTTCCGGGTTAGGCCACGCCCACTCCAAGTACAGATACAGATAGTGGTGTACTCGCTCATCCCTACTACATGCCACCGGTCACCGGAAGACAAATTCCAGCTCTAAGGTGGATTTCACATTCCACCTTCCAACAAGCAACAAGGTTCTGCAAACCTTGCTGACGTTTCAGGAGGAACACGATGTCAGCCTGTGATCCCAAACAAAGCCTTCTTCTGATAACACCGCAGGATTCCTCATGCCTCTGAATAAAGTGACTATTTTGAGCTCATATGGGTTAATCAATCGTGAAATGGAATAAACAAATGTTATATGAAATGATCAATAATGTTTTGATTTATCTGTGCTTAAATTAATAAGGTTGATTAATCTGTGCTTAAATTAATAAGGTTGATTAATCTGTGCTTAAATTAATAAGGTTGAAATGAAACATTTTGATATTATGATCAGTAATGTTGGTTTAACAAGTGAAACACTATTTTCTGACAGCTCGCACACTCAGACACATGACGATGACATGGTTAAGCTAATATCCTGACACATTGCTTTCTGTTCCACAAATCAGAACATCCTGTATCTGAAAGAGGCGTGACGTTCTGAGGTTTGCTTGTGAACACCCCTTAACATGGCACGTCCTGACTGGCCAAGTAAATCATAATATGAGAATATTTAAAACAGAATCACTTACCGTGATTCAGCACTTCAACTTCCAGCTTCCAGCATCCTGTGAGATTCAGCATTCAGTTCTAGAGAAAGCTACGGACAGGCCATCCGTAGCGAACCCTCTTTAACCCGGAGCATTTTTGACAAGCTGTCAAAAACCCTGCTACACGCTACAGCTGACACAGCAAAACGGTTCCTTCAGCTATTCAGAAACAGCTGCTCTAGACGCAAACAATTTCATCCATCAGTTGTGACTCGGAAACATCTCTGGACTGGAGTGTCGGAGCTGCGGTTAATCTACCAAACCTCGGTGCCCAGAGGTCATCCGACCTCCGGATTCACAAAGAGGTTCTCCAAAGAAAGGGTGAGGTAGACTGATGCTGTTTTGATAAGAACCAACTTCATAGCTTAATGCAAACCAAATTCTCCTTTTTACACCCAGAACTCAGTTCTTCTAGATACGAAGGTTCTGATAAACATTCACACACTGTCACCATACATCACATCCCATCCTCTTAGTTTCATCCATCACAGTGGCCTTGGTTAACTTGCCATGTTTTTATTTGTTTAGAAAATAAATTTCTTATCTTTTATAAACTTGACGCTGAATTGAGACGAAGTGTGTTTGATCCCTGAAAAAGAAAAGAATCCTAGAATTTCCTGATCAAACATCCAAAGACCAAGCAGGTTGATATTCTACATTTATATAGAGTATCACAGCTTACTGGTCATAAGCAGAGGTAATGTATTAAGCTTAAAAGCGCAAAATTTACTATCCTACACTGTCTAAGTCACATGATGTGGAAGCTATTAAAAAATGCACAAACTGCCCATGAAAATAATAGTATTAGAAATCAAATATCCTCCTTGAACTCATTGTGTAAAACATCTTCTGCTCATCCTAAACATTAAATAGATCTATAGAAATTTGGAATAAATGTTAGAAACGGCCACCTATTTGGTTTTTAAGGGTTTGACTTCATTTTTACTCGTGCAGCTGTTACTACACATATAAATATTATGTATATTAGTAACAAAACAGTTGCTGATTAAAAGTTAAAATGGGTTGCAACAGTTTTGGGTCAGATCTTTTTTTCTAGCTACAGACGGCCTTCGTCTCACAGATTTCTTCACCACAAACTGGGAGAAGCGTTACAACCCCGCTCCCCGTCACTAGACGTGCTGCAGCAGGAGAACCAGGAGAGTGGCTCCTGAATAAAGACACATCACTGGAAAAGTTTGGATTTAGCACAGGAAACTACATTTTTTCTGTAGCAGTGGAACAAGTGGTGTAATGACAAACTTACTGGTTTTTATCTGCTCCTCTTGTGACACTGGGCTGCTCGCAGCAATAACTGGCAGCATCGCAGGGAACCAGCAGGCCGGCCCATTCAAAACTGTTTTACTGGACCGTACCATTTTTTAGAAAAACTTTATGGAAGGGGGAGTTGTGTCCTCCCTGGCCCCCCAGGATCTCCGCCTATGTTTTCCTGCCGTTTTTCCTTTGGTGGCTAATGCAGGGAACTACCCCTATTCACATTCAGCCTGCATCTAAGCTCTTAAGATGCATACTTAAAGATGAGATCAAACACCCCAATACCATGAGGCTTTTCAGACCAAAGAAGCTAAGCAACTGCAGTCTGAACGATCATGTCGCATTAAATCCGTCTCCTACGTCACTGAGACAGCGGAGGTGTGTGGACGTCCCTGAGGACAAGCGCTGACAGAAGGGTTCAGGAGTCTGTCTGGACATCCTGTTACGTTTAGGAAATTAAAATACAGGAGAGCATGAGAACGGGAGCAGGAGATGCTGAGGGCGGGGGGGTCCTCTTGAATTAACTTATTAACGGAACGTTTTCAGCGAATAATAATTCAGGAAGACGGCGGGAACGAGGAGTAAAATAGTTTACAGTTTTTAAAACCGTTTCCAGCCAAAGACGGGAGACCTGACCGGTGTGATCCCGATCCTGTGGATGAACGGTCAGTGAAGGCTTTCACATCACAACTCTTTAGATTAGATTAGTAATCTAATCTAACCTGGAAACACGCTGGAGTAATACGCTTTTTGAAACGCCTCCACATAGAAATGTTGTCCAGATTTCTTCCAGCTGTTAGTGGAACGTCTGCTTTGGAGCTGAAGTCCTCTTCGGGTGAAGAGGCGTTTCCATGGAAACGGTTTACTTCTCCTGATCCAGACTGTTGGCGAGCTAACCTCTGTTCCTATCTGAAAATCCTCATCTGGATCTGTCTCAAGAACACCCCCCAGATGTTTCTGGGGCTACCGTTTTAGTCTGATCTTCACACAAAGCTTCCTTTTCCAGAAGCTGACTTTGTAAATCCTGCAGATGTTTTGCTGAAGTTTCTACCTTATTTTGTTCTTAGTGATTAATTTAAGTCCTTCATTTCCTACGTGTTCGTTTATCTGGTTGTTCCTCTGCTCCTGCACCAACTGGCGTCTCAGCCACGATTCCTGCTCCAAATGTTTATGGAGATCTTCACACAAACGTTCTTTTTCCTGCAGCTGATCTTCTAAAGTTTGCATGTTTTTCTGGCAGGTCTCTGCTTTATTCTAGTAATAATGGAGACGGACCAGTTTTTTGCAGAAATCTCAGAGATTTCAACCGATAGATGAACAGAAAACCTACCGGTATGCACTGATCCCTACAAAAAAAGTCCCGGTACACTGAGGTTGAAATAAGAAGCGCTGGTACTGCGTACCGGCCCACTTGAACCACTGGATTACTGGCCAGGAGGCCTAAAACAGTTACTTGTGACCCACGTTTAACCTGTTTCTGACTCACTGTTGTCAAAGATGGGCTGTGATACAACAGGCTCCAGGGGAAACAGCTCTCCAGTAGGCCCGGTGATGGAGGCCTGGAAGCAAAGCCGAACAGAATTCAGGTCAAACTCCTCCTCCCACACCTTGGGCTCGGGAACTGTAACCACAACAGAGAGAGGAAAAGGGCGGAGATCCCAATCACAAACCACAGTCAGGCTGCATCCTGTCAAGTAGAGCTGCTGCATTAGGAGCAAAAATAATCAACACTTCCCCTCAAGTTTCAGCTGAATAAACACAGCTTCACATATGAAGACAGAAAGGGGCTTCCTTCACTTACTGTTGAAGGGGTTGTTGTTTGTCTGCAGCCTACAGGTGATGGCCTCGTTCACGTCCTTCTTCTTCACACACTGTATACCCAGGTTCTGAAAACTGAAAGCAAGTACAGTCTGAGACAAAAAACCCAAGGCTGAGGTTTCACTCTCATCTTTAGTGTCACACATTTATCTCCTTTTTAATATCAAACTCTACGTTTTGAATTACGGGGGAGCCAGGGGGAGCACGGCTCCCTCAAAAGGGTGATGGGACTCCCCTGGAAACCCTCAATGGACACACACAAGGAGAGCCCGAAAAAAGACAAGTTTCTACTTAGACCAGGGGTTCATTTGAGCCGATTCTTGCCAGAACAAGATCCGGGAAAGATCTTATTTTGAAAGGACCATTCCGGCAACTGTCTGCTAGGTTCTGGCAACTCACGCGACCAAGTTGTGCTATACGCAGGGTTCGATTTACGGGTGAGTTTAAGGGAGCCCAGCTCACCCGAAAGGGTGACAGGCTCCCCTGGGAGCCCTCAGCTTACACACCCAGGGGGAGCCCAAAAATGATCCTGGTTCTACTTATATGACATTATTTATGTGGACTCTCCGAGGATTATTTTGAGCTGAGAGGCACAGAGCTCTGATCGTTGACGCGCTCCAGACAGATGCATCCTGAGCGTGGCCACAGTTACATTCAGTCGCCACCTCAAAAACAAAGTTAACACTCGATCGTTCATGTCGGGTCATATCCTTTCATGCTTTTTGTTTTTTATCTGCTCCTGATGCGTTTCGCTGCTGCGGAGCTGAGCGCATCACCTGTTTTGTCCTCCGGTGACTTCACCTCACTGGTGCAGCCGGCGCGCACCCCGCTATTGCTGCGGTCGGTAGATCTTTTTGAACTGCAGATCAAAGGTAACGCATGAGGTGAAAACATATGAAGCCGGGTAGCAGTTTTTCTTTAGGATCGAGAGGAGATGCAGGAAGATAGTAGACAGACAGGACAGAAAAATAGTGCGTGTTCCAGCATCTGTTTCGCCTTTAGCGAACTTTGGTTTGACATCAGTATTTGCGTTCTGGGAACGTTTGACTTACAAATTTAGCACTGACCTAGACTACATAATTATATGGACTCTCAGTGTACCGGGACTTCTTTAGAGTGGAGAGGACGGAGAGCGCGGATTCTTCATGCGCTTCAGGCAGCTGCGTCCTGCACACGGCCACAATTCTCCAAAAGAATACTACCATTGCCATTTTATTTGTAAATCACTTTTGAATTACAACGAAGCTAAAAAAAAAAGGGTGCAGTACATTAAAACCACACAATAAAACAAGTTCATTTGTATACAAATAAAATAAAGTCACATTATACTATATTAAAAGCCAAAGCGCTTATCTTTAAATAAAAACCTGTCCACTCAAAGAATAAGGGCGGAGAGGTATTCATGTCTGCTCATATTCTCTGGTACTTTCTCTCTGTTATTCCTGCCTGACACGCTCTGCTGCTACAGAGCGTATTACCCATGCTCCAGCGAGTTTACCTCACTGCCGCGGCCGTGCAGTGGGCACTTTGCTACTTTCAGAGTCGGTAGACCCCTTCCATCTGCTTGGTTCAACAGTAGCTCATGAGGTGAAAAAGTAGGAAAGCTAGGCAGCAGTTTTTCTGGAGGACTGAGAGGAGATGCAGGAAGAGAGACAGGACAGGAAAATAGTCAGCTTTGTGTTCATGAAACCAACAGACGTGACAAAACTTGCAGTTCTCATCCGCTAGTTGCTGATTCCAAAACAGAGCAAATTCTCATCGACTCCCATGTTAAAAAGTGTCAGCTTCACAGCCAGAACAAACATTTTTACAGTCTGGTACAAAAACATTTTAGCTTTAATGTTCCAAGTTTATCGCCATGACAACTCAGAGGGGGGGGACTTTTTAAACTCTGTTTAGGTGTAATTAAATTCTTGAAATTATGAATAATTAGAGTTTGACTGAAAGGTAGCATGAGCCGTCAGAGCTAGCATTAGCGGCTAGCTCAGGGAAAGGCCTAAGTCTCAGCCTCACGTTGAAAGTGTGGGACTAATCAAACTGCCTGAACTTGACCATTCATGTTAGGATGTTAATCATGTAATTATCTGACAAAGATGGCTAGCTGTGGTATTGACCGCGCCAACAGACCACTTTAAATCACTGGCGGAATGGAGTACAATACTGGGGATGTGACATAATACTGCTTGGTCAAAAATGGGATGAAATTAGGCATGCTGCTTGGGCTGGGTACTGAAACTTGTTACCGTCTCTGCATCAGCAGCTTTGTAGATCTCTGACTACAGGTGCAGCAACATCTGCGGGGTGCTCTGACCGCTGCGGTGCAAGGCTGTAACCATGCTGGTCACCTGTGAAACTCTCTGAGGGAGACGCCAGAAACAGCAGCTTGATAAGTTGATGCATGCTTCATCCATTCGCGATTTCTGGCTATGAGCGTTCGCAAACCTCCGTTAGCTTTGGTTATCTCAATTAGGTCGTAGCTACACTGGCTCAGAGTTTGACCTATGGGTGATGTCACGGAGAACTGGTTCATATTTTCTACAGTCATTGGTATGAACTCAAAAATCCTAACTCTCACTAATAAACAGTCCATTTAGCCTGATGGATCTGTTAGAAACTGAACATACATTTCACTTCTTTTTAAAAGATTATACACCAAAATAGTAAATGTTAGCTGGGATTCCTCTGGGCATAAGTCCCAAAGGAATCTCTCCACTGGTTGCCCGTGCAGTTCAGGATAAATTTCAAAATTATGCTTCTCACTTACAAATCCTTGAACCATCAAGCTCCTCCATATCTGTGTGAACTTGTCCATTACTACAACCCGCCGCGTGCTCTCAGGTCTGAAGATGAGCTCCTCCTAGCTGTTCCGAATGCACGTTTAAAAAGCCGTGGAGAAAGGGCTTTCTCTGTCTGTGCACCCAAGCTGTGGAACGCATTACCACTGCTAGTGAGGCAAGCACCAACAGCTAGCATTTTTAAATCACGCCTGAAAACTCACTACTTCAACCTAGCTTATACCACATAATTATGAACCTCACTTATATCTGCACTGTTTAAAAATGGACTTCACAATATCAACTTCCGTACTATTGAGGTTCTTTTTTAAAATGTTTTTTCCTATTTTTATTTCACCCTGTGTCTTATTGATTTTTAGCTGTTAGTTTTGGGAATTATGTTGTATTTCCTTTTTATCTTTTATCTGTGTTCGACATGTTTGTATAACGCCGGTTTAATTAACCAACATTTTTAGTGTACAGCGCCTTGTTTGGTTGTAATGCCTTGTGAATGTGCTTTATAAATAAAATTGGATTGGATTGGAAAGGAACCCTTCAAAGGTTTTCAGACATGTTTGAGCACCTCTTGACATGTTTAATGGATCAATAAAACTCTGTTTAGACTTCTGCCCACTTTACTGCTCTAATTGTGCTAATAAACAGTTTTTAAACCATACCTTTTCTATTTGTGTGAAGAACAAATGACTAATGTACCCGATGGATGGACTAACTCAACAACGATCCAGCCATTGTCTGCAGTATACCGTTTGTTTGGATTTCATCACTCAACCCACAGATCTCAAACAAATCTCCCTCCAACCAGGAGAACCAGTTTGATTACGTAACAAAGCCACTCATTCAACTCGCCACAATCCTTCAGTTCTTTCACTACGAAGTACAAGTGAGACGGTTTTATCTCCTGACTGTCAAACAAACTTTTACTGGCAGTAAAACCTGTAGAGACGAACTCATCGGGGCACTGGGTATTCTGTTAATGTTTGACCGATAAACTTCCCTGCTTCATGTGGTCATCAGACTGTAGTTTACTTTCAGTGTGACGTTTTATACATCATTTCCACAGCTTTCTGCAAGCATCCTCGTGTAACATAGGCTCAAAACTACCAGCTCAGCTGCCTTGCTGAAATGTGTGTGTGTGCGTGTGTGTGTGTGTGGTTATTTGTAACACACCTGTGTATCCGTCGCTCCTGCAGGTCGGCCTCGTAGTAGCCATGTTTACAGTCTTTCCCCACCAGTTCGTGAGGATGGGGTTTGTACGGGGGATTCTTTGTCACCAGAGAGATGCGAACCCGTAGGGGACCGCTGTAGTTGTGCACCTGTGACAGAAACACTCATGTAAGATGAGAAGCAGCTCTGAATGCCATGGATCCAACCCAGGTTCTTCCTCCACTCCTCAACATACCAGCTTACCATTACTATTACAGTGTCTCCACCCCTCTTCTCCACATGCTACAGCTGGTTAAACACACATCTAAAGCTACTGCTGCATTTCTGAAGAAGAACAGGGTGAAGGCGATTGAATGACCAAGTCTGTCTCCTGATCTGAACCCAATCCAACACCTGTGGGGAATTCTGCAGCAGCAAGTTGAGCATCACTCTCACAACATCACAACATGACCTATAGGTTATAAATTGTAAGTCGCTTTGGATAAAAGCGTCTGCTAAATAAACATAAACATAACTCTCCATCCAGCATCTAAAAGAGGTTCTTCTTGAAGAAAGGAAACAGATAGATGTTGTAATATGTCGCCATCTTGTTCATTCCAAGCCTAGAAGACTTGGTGCTGTCCTTGAAAATCACGGTGGTCATACAAAACACTAGATGTAGTAGTTTTTGTTGTGGGGGGGGGGGGTCTCCTGTTGGTGGGGAAGCACCCTGACGGTCTGTGCTGCTGTGGGGCGCTGGAAACGGTGGGACACGTATTGCTGCATTGTCCCGATTACTCGGACAAGAGGAGGGCCCTGTTCGGGTTATTGGGTTCCGTAGGGGTTAGGGTTTTTAGTCTACGGACATGGTTGCGGGTGGAGGAGGGTCAGTGTGTGGGCACGCTGCTCGCTTTTTTATGTCGTGTCTGTGTTTACATGAGGGTGTGAACATCTTTGAGAGTGAACTGACGGTTGCTGTGGCAACAATACACCAACTAGGCGTCTAGTCTGCCTGAGGAAAAGAAGAAGAAGAAGCAGGGAAACACTGGTGTTTGAATGGGCAACATGGAAAACATGACAGGAAACAACCTGGAAACAAGTGAGGTTAGCTTTTGTCTCACTGCAGATATAAAAACGAACTCTGCATCGGTCAGACGCAGCGAAGCTCACCGTCTGTATGAGCGTGAGCGTCGGAAGGCTGATAAAATCAGCTGTAAAATAATTTAAACGAAAGTAAAAATGTTCCTTTGCTTTTTAGAGTCCACATCCAGAAGACTGGAGCCGTGTTTCACTGACAGGCTGTCAGCCTAACGCCCTGATGAGCTCAGCTGGGACAAACTCTGGTCTGATGTTTAGGTAAGTGAAGACTGCTTCTCCAAGTCCCTGAGATGCTAGTAAAAATAATTTAGCCAGCTTGCTAATGTTACTTTTCTTCTCCTCTAAGGTACACAGAATGCTCAGATGTTGGAGCTTCATGTCACCTACTGAGGACCACCAGTAAAGAGACGGCGTCTGGACCAGACCAAAGTGAGTGATGACACTTTAGCCCTAGGCGTAGGCACCCTCATTAGGAACACCTCACCCCCTGAATCCCTCCATCTGATGACAGCAGAGTGACTTATTTGATGTTTCACTGGTTTAGTCTGTTTGGAAATGATAGAATTACATTATTTTCTGTAAACAACCATCTGATCTGGACGTGTACAGAATAACTTTCCCCAAGTTCAGCAGCAGCTGGCCTGTAAAAACAGCTGCAGCATGTAGTAAGTCTGTCTGTGCTGCACTCTAATGAGCTTCCTTTCATAAGGAATCGTTTATATCATTTTAAGTGTCACTATTTTATTGCATTTGGAGTAGGGATGGACAATATATCGGCATCAATATCGGTATCGGTCCAATAAATAAAACCGGGCCAATATGAACAACCAGTATTTTTTCCATCTCGTCTCCGTTGGTTTGCCTGTTTCAGAGGGTGAGGGGGGTGGTGTGTATTTGTTTAGTCATGTGAACAGTGATTGTAATAATCTCAGAAGCATAAATGTGTGTGGTGTGTGAACATACTAATGTAAATTCAGCTTAAATAATTTTCATTTTATACAAAATTGCTGATTTTAGAAGCATTAATGTCAGAATATCGGTTATCAGCCATAACAGTGATATTAATATCGGTATCGGCCCTAAAACTTCACATCGGTGCATCACTAACTTTTAGGAGAATATGAAGTCACAGCAGCAAAGTGAACTTGTAAACAAAGTAAAAGATGAACCAAAACAGCACAAACGTGACTATAAACAGGAAAGCTAAAGAACCAACTTTCCTAAAGCTGCTTGTAAACAAAATATGTCATTAAAGTTACTGTCTATCATTGCAGAATATGGCGATGACATCATGGAACTGGGGTGGGCGACGCGACAGCGTGGCGCTGAAAAAGCTTGATGGACAACTCTCCCCACATTTTAAAAATGCTAACATAACGTTTCTGCTACGCTAGATAATGATTTCTCTGTAGAACTACAAAGTACGAGTGGGGGAGGAGAGTAGGTCTGCACTGTGGTGGGGGGCGGAGTTTACAGCTCCTTCTCCAGATTTAAAGAGACAGTACCCAAAAACGGCTCATTCTCAGACTCTCCTCAGAACAGGGGTAGATGAGGGTCTGTAGAGCAACAATAAGGAATTCAGACCAAAGAACTGCAGTTTCACTGTATTTAGACCCCAACCGAATGGCTTAGATGTAAAAAGGAATCATTTAAAAGGACGATATGTCTCCTGTACATTTATTTTTGGGGGAAATGTCACTTTAATATATTTTTCCTATGAGAACGTCTCCTCCTACAATCTTTAGTAACCTCACATCCCTTTTCTTCTGGCGTGTTTCCACGAGGAGGAGTTGGATGACAGGCTAACGCTAGCTCACTTTCTCTGTTATGATCAGACTTACTGGTGATTTGGGTCATCACTGTTACCATTTGGTCTGACTAAAAACCTTACGGAACCGAGGCTTCATTCATTCTGAACATTCATTTAAAAATATGAAAAACATGTTAAGAAACTTCTGGACTGCTTGGATTGCATCCACGTATCAACAAGTCTCCAAGTGGTCAGAGATTTACAGAAAATTACATTTTTAATGTCCATTCCATTCACATGGGTGTAATCACAGGGCCTATCACCGGAGGAAAAGCTATACATTAACTAACCTTGATGGCGGGGTAGGTCTTCGTCGTGTCGTTGCTTTTCTCTCCAGGAATGCTGCCGGCTGAACGGCCCTCACACTTGTACCGAAACCTCATCCCCCTCTGCTTCGGCTGCTCAATGATCTCGATGTGAGGGTTTGTTGTTTGGACTGATGGAGGAGAGGAAGAGAAGGACTAGAATGTCAACACCAGTTATGTTGGTAATCAATTTATCCAAGTAAGGTTTCAGTGTGAAAACGTGCCTTTACCTGAGTTATGAGGGGTCATCCCCCATCGGTACACACCTGCGGTGCATAAACAAAAAGGGCATTCAGCTACATTGCACAACACATAAAATACAGCAACGCAAATAACTGAGAAAAACGCTTCAGCACATATTTGTGGTTTAGTCCGAGTTTGTCATTTGTGGTGTGGTCGGACAGGAAATCTACCAGACCGGAGCAGCGTCCAAACGGGGTCGGAGGCCGCCAAGACGCAAGGGCTTCCCAGCTAAATATAATTACAGCTCATAAATTGCCTGCCAAACTCCAGAGGGAGGGAAAGAAGTGAGGAGAACAGTGACAGGCAGGGTGTAACACCAGTGTCAGATTACCAGCTGTGTTACTAGAAGGCTGAAGCGTGAGAGAAAAGCAGGCAGGACCTTAGTTTCAGGTGATCTGGAGCAACAAGAAAAGACGAGATCAGGTGGCCAAAGCTCCACCTCTTTAGCCAGGAGCTCAGCTCCAACACATGGTGAGCAGGATCCTTTCCAAGTTGTGACATGTCTGCTTTCACGCTGAAAGCAAGATCAAGCTGGAAAGAAATCCAGGCAGCAAGAAATCAGAGAGTCCAATATTCAACGCGTGTCCTGCATCATTCATCTGAATAAGCATGCCAAGTTTCAGAGGAGGGTTTAATTTGAATGACACGATTCATGCTAATTAAAAAAAATAAAGTAAACCAAAACTACTTTACTGTTTGCATTCAAATAACGTGCGGTGATATCAAAACCCAGCTGATGATCTGGAGACTACTGCGAGTCACTTTCAATTCATCCGACCACACTCAGGCATGACTTCACCAGCATCCTGTTGTTTGGTACCCCTACCAGATCTTCCTGTAAATGCTGCTAAATACCTTCAGACCATGTTGGAGAGTGGATCTGAACTAAAACGTGTTTACAACAACAAAAGGTCAAAAGTTTGTCTGAACTGACTGAGATCCGAAAACTGTATAAAAAGCAGTCAAATAAGTCGCATCAGATGTTCCGCACGCATATTTTATAAAACTGTAACAGTTTCGGGTTACTTTTAAATAACAAGGTCCAAATATGTGAAATTAATTCTAAACTAAGTCTTTAACTGTTGAGGTAAATGCACGCCGAGTTAAAAAGCGAGTCATGCATTAGCCTCACGAGTCATTAACGTGGTATTACTGATTAATACTGGAGCAGTTATTAGGAAAATAAACATTTGTGAACGACGTTTGCCATTAGGCCCGGCGGAGAGGGGAGGCAGGTTGGCGCGTGCCAGGTGAGCTAGCCGAACACAGAAAAACGAAATCAAACAGAACAGTGGTGTCGCGTTCGACTATAAACAAATTACCAATAATAATGGGTTAAAGTAAACCGCAGGGTTTAGTTTTAGTGTCTGGGAGCGGACTGCTCCTGTTAGTGCAACGATATCGGGGTTTTCCCTTTGCGCAAAACAACAACTCCCAAACAGTTTCACCTCCTGTCCTGTAGCGGAGTAAACAGCACGAGCTAGCAGAGCTAAACTCACCGTCCATGGCTGAATCCGCCTCGCTCTTCGCCGTCCGCTCCTCCCGCTCCTCTTCAGCCCGTTTATTTGTGTTTTATTAGTAAGAACAATATCCAGCAGTGCGGACTCCGAAAACTTCTTGACAGAGTCGTCCCTTCGCCCCCTCGCCCCACCTACATCTGTGTGCAGATGTGAAGTGACAGAGAGTGACGACGCAACTTCCGGTGAGGAACATACGTTCCAGCCAGCGCGCGCACAAGACGTTCTGCCATTATTTGTTTTTACGCAACAAATACTTAGCTAAAGCCAGCGTGACTGGTTCATTAGCTACAGCGACTTTATTTCTGAACATGATTCTTTTCTTAAAATGACTTTTTTGTTGGGATAAAATAAAAGAAACATTGAACAGTTCTGAAATACAGATTTAACCCTAAATTCTCAAATAGTAATAAATGTTTACTCCACAATACTTTCACATAATAAATGCATTTATTTACGCAGAACACATGTTTTTAAAATAAACATTAGCTGAAGGGCTAGCATTGGCGTAAATGCTAGTAAATGTTGCACTTTTATTCTGATGAGCAACTAGAATGGGGCCTGTTTAAGTTTCTCCAAACTGAGGTTGTTCTAAGATGCAACAGCAGATAAGCGGTCTTCCATAAAAACCTACTTCAAAATATCCAAGCTATGATTTTATTAAGTCACTGCGCTTCATGTTGCAGGTTTAAAATTGAAATAATCTAAAAAGAAACATGTCATGCATGTGTTTAATATAAATGATCTGAACTTTCCTGTAATCTATTATCTTTGAAAGTGCTTTCCTTGAGGATACTTAAATGTTTGATGGCTACTTTTTTCACTTTTTTAACCTATTTATTCAAGCACGTGGCTAGAAAGTTGTTTGAGGAGGTTTCTGCTGTTAACTCTAACTTGTGACTCATTCAGGCACAATGCACAATTTAACTGTTTAATAATAATAATAATAAAACACATGGCTCAGGACCAGCTTTAACATAGCAAGCTGATCGACTTCAAGAAAAAGTATGTTTTATACATTTTTAGGAGACACTTCTAAGGGGTCTCTAAAGTTTAAAAGGCAAAAACTACCAAAGTTATGCAACGCTTGTTACAAACTTCCACGCACTTAACATTGATATTAGTAAAGAGGAGGTGTCTTTCAGGTCCTATCTTGACTTTTAACTGACTGTTTTCATTTAAGCTTCCTAATGTTTTAAAACTACAGACAGAATTTTAAGCAGAAAAGTTTTCTTTTGACCTGCAATTGTTCACCTTTCTTATCACACACCAACACCTGTTGTCACGGAGATGTTGTGTGCAAGGACCGGACAGAAAATGAGTTTAAGAAGAAGCCAAGTGGTTAGTTTACAACGAACAAATGTGTTCACTGAAACATTGTAATATTTTATTATTTTTCTTGTTAAAATTATTGTCTTTTGCAATCTTGAATGCCTCTGAGGGGACTGCACCTTAGAGTTTCGTTGTACTTTGTAAAAAGTGACAATGACTTAATTATTTTTACTTGAATCTTCTCATAACGCTGCTTATACTTTTCCTACGAATGAAATATGTGCTTTTATTTTGGAAGGAACTCAGAGCACTTCCAGTGTTGTCTGAAGTCTAACTTGACACGGTTCTTTTTTTTTTCATTTGCGGTGAAACTCTCCTCCACCCACGCGTGACAGTGCGGAAATACCCTGATGACGCAGTTTAAAGGAAACAGTGATGGGAATTCCGGCACTTTTTAGAGAGCCGGATCTTTTGGCTCAGCTCACCAAAAAGAGCCGGCTCTTTCGGCTCCCAAGTGGCTCCTCAGATTTTCTGTTGTGTAGAATACATTTATAACCCAAATAATGCAAAACTATATGTAAAATAATTTACTAATGTAAAAAAATGCTACATATCAAATATTTATCATTTCTTTGGATTTAATAACTGAACACTTTAAGAAATCTCCACTTTCCGACTGCTGGCGCTCATTTTCTCACGGTCTTCTTCGCACTCTCCTCTCTCTCTCGCTCGCCTTTTTCCTCCTCCTCATTCCCTCACCCGCATGTGCTCTGCCGTGTGTCTGAGTCTGATCCTCCCTCTTCCCCGCCCCTACTGCTCTGTGTGTAGACAGTCTCGACACACAGTTACACATGTTGACCAATCACCTGTGGCTTTCACCCAAGCAAGAGGGGAGGGGACGGCTCTCAATGATGAGCCGGCTCCCGTCGTTCACTTCAAAGAGCCGGCTCTTAGAGCCGGGTCGTTTGTGACCGACACATCACTAAAAGGAAAAATGAAGTTTTGAGGGGGAGGCGAAAACACAACTTTAGAGCGAGACTGTATCCACATCTACTTTGTTTACAGGGGTTTCCTCTTTTCATTAAACAAAACACAGATATGGCCAAACAGACTGCATGCACGAGGAGAAGAAAACTCCACACAGAAAGGCTGCAGCCGGGATTCAAACCTGCAACCTTCTTGCTGTGAGGCAACAGTGCAGTCCTGATTTATGGTCATACATCATTTACCTCCTCCGAGCTTGTTTGGATTAGACAGATCTAAATCGTCTCCTTGAACCGTCACCTTATCGTGGTGGAGGAGTTTGAGTGCCCTAATGATCCTAGGAGCTATGTTGTCTGGGGCACTTAGTGCCCCTGGTAGGGTCTCCCATGACAAATTGGTCTTAGGTGAAGGGTGAGACAAAGAACGGTTCGAAGGATCTTTCATGGCGGTTAAAACGAAGAGTCGGAGTACCCGGCCCGGAGGGTTACCGGGGTCCCACCCTGGAGCCAGGCCTGGGGTTGGGGCCCGTGAGCGAGCGCCTGGTGGCCGGGCTTTCGCCCATGGGGCCCGGCCGGGCCCAGCCCGAACCGGATACATGGGCTCGTCCAACTGTGGACCCACCACCCGCAGGAGGAACATGAAGGGTCCGGTGCAATGTGAATCGGGTGGCAGACCAAGGCGGGAGCCTTGGCGGTCCAATCCCCGGACAAGAAAACTAGTTTTTGGGACATGGAACGTCACCTCGCTGGCGGGGAAGGAGCCGGAGCTTGTGGCAGAGGTTGAGCGGTACCGGCTAGATATAGTCGGACTCACCTCGACACATTGCATTGGCTCTGGAACCCGAGACCTGGAGAGGGGTTGGACACTCTACTTTGCTGGAGTTGCTCCGGGTGAGAGGCGGAGGGCTGGGGTTGGCTTTTTGTTAGCCCCGAGACTCTCTGCCTGTGTGTTGGGGTTTACCCCGGGGGACAAGAGGGTAGCTTCCTTGCGCCTTCGGGTCGGGGAACGGGTCCTGACTGTTGTTTGTGCTTATGGGCCAAATAGCAGTTTAGAGTACCCACCCTTTTTGGAGTCCCTGGGACGAGTGCTAGATAGTGCTCCATCAGGGGACTCCATTGTCCTGCTGGGGGACTTCAATGCTCACGTGGGCAATGACAGCTTGACCTGGAGGGGTGTGATTGGGAGGAACGGCCCACCTAATCTGAACTCGAGCGGTGTTTTGTTATTGGACTTCTGTGCAAGCCGCAGTTTGGCCATAACATACACCGTGTTTGAACATAAGGATGCCCACCGGTACACTTGGTACCAGGGCAGCCTAGGTCACAGGTCGATGATAGATTTTGTAGTCGTATCATCTGACCTGCGGCCATATGTTTTGGACACCCGAGTGAAGAGAGGGGCGGAGCTGTCAACTGATCACCACCTGGTGGTGAGTTGGATCAGATGGCAAGGGAACATGCCGCGTAGACCTGGCAGACCCAAACGCATAGTGAGGGTCTGCTGGGAACGCCTGGCAGAAGAACCTGTCAAGACGGTCTTCAACTCCCACCTCCGGCAGAGCTTTGACCACGTCCCGAGAGCAGTGGGGGACATTGAGTCCGAGTGGGCCTTGTTCCACTCTGCGATTGTCGAGGCGGCTGTTGCTAGCTGTGGTCGTAAGGTGGCCGGTGCCAGTCGTGGTGGCAACCCCCGTACCCGCTGGTGGACACCAGAGGTTCGGGGAGCCGTCAAGCTGAAGAAGGAGGCCTACAGGGCGTGGCTGGTCAGTGGGTCTCCGGAGGCAGCAGACAGGTACCGGATAGCCAAGCGGGGTGCAGCAGTGGCAGTTGCCGAGGCAAAATCTCGGGCGTGGGAGGAGTTTGGTGAGGCCATGGAGAAAGACTATCGATCGGCTCCAAAGAGGTTCTGGCAAACTGTCCGGCGCCTCAGGAGAGGAAGGCAGCAACTCGCTCACACTGTTTACAGTGGGGATGGGGAGCTGCTGACGTCAACTGAGGCTATAGTCGGACGGTGGAAGGAATACTTTGAGGAGCTCCTCAATCCCACCAATGCGCATTCTGAGGAGGAACCAGAGCTGGGAGGCCTGGGGATGGACTGTCCGATCTCGTGGGCAGAAGTTGCTGAGGTAGTCAAACAACTACACAGCGGCGGAGCCCCGGGGGCGGATGAGGTTCGTCCTGGGTATCTCAAGGCTATGGATGTTGTAGGGCTGTCATGGTTGACACGTCTCTACAACATTGCTTGGTCATCGGGGGCAGTTCCTAGGGAGTGGCAGACCGGGGTGGTGGTCCCCATCTTTAAGAAGGGTGACCTGAGGGTGTGTTCCAACTATAGGGGGATCACACTCCTCAGCCTCCCTGGAAAGGTCTACTCCATGGTACTGGAGAGGAGGGTCCGATCGATAGTTGAATCTCAGATAGAGGAGGAGCAATGTGGTTTTCGTCCTGGCCGTGGAACTGTGGACCAGCTCTATACCCTTGCAAGGGTGATGGAGGGGGCATGGGAGTTTGCCCAACCAATCCACATGTGCTTTGTGGATTTGGAGAAGGCTTATGACCGTGTCCCCAGGGGCACCCTGTGGGGGACGCTCCAGGAGTATGGGGTGGGTGGCTTTCTGTTAAGGGCCATTCAGTCCCTTTACCAGAGGAGCGTGAGTTTGGTCCGCATAGCCGGTAGTAAGTCGGACCTGTTCCCAGTGAGGGTTGGACTCCGCCAGGGCTGCCCTTTGTCACCGGTTCTGTTCATCACTTTTATGGACAGAATTTCTAGACGCAGCCGTGGTGTGGAGTGTGTCGAGTTTGGTGGCAGGAGAATCTCGTCTCTGCTTTTTGCGGATGATGTGGTCCTCCTAGCTTCATCCAGCTCTGGCCTTCGGCTCCTGCTGGGTAGGTTCGCGGCCGAATGTGAAGCG